TTAAGTTAACCTGTAAAATCTTAAGTTAACTTAATAAATCTGAGTACAGTGTGATTACCTAATCAGCAAGCAAAGTTTAGTTTTGTTTGAGATACCAACACAGTAAAGATAACAAGACTGTTTTTTGTTTTGTGGATGAACTTAAAAAGATTACAATGTTTCATGTCTTGAACAAATATTTCTGATCTCAATGCTAAAATACTTGTGTTAAGATACCAACTTGAATTTGCATTGTTGATTTCACAGATTCAGCTACGGGAAGTTTACTTCACCACAGAATCATTTTGTCAGTGTACTATAAGAGGGAATCATAGCAGATTAATAAAAAACCGAGATGACAGCCAACCTGCAGGATTATAAATGAAATATGGCGTAATTTAAGCGAGGACTTTACACCAACAGGTCAAGTAACAGCTAAAGATAACAGACCCTGGTGTCCAGATAAACGACCCTGAAGTGACTGAGATAAGAATTCTGCTGGATAATAAACTAAGGAAGCTTTTCCATCGTCCTGTGACGTCTCCAGCCCAGATGATGCTGCGGCCTGCAGCCTGGTGTCCTGAAGCCTGGTGTCCTACAGCCTGGTGTCCTGCAGCCTGATGTCCTACAGCCTGGTGTCCTGAAGCCTGGTGTCCTGAAGCCTGGTGTCCTACAGCCTGGTGTCCTACAGCCTGGTGTCCTGCAGCCTGGTGTCCTGCAGCCTGAAGTCCTGCAGCCCGATGTCCTACAGCCTGGTGTCCTGCAGCCTGATGTCCTGCAGCCTGGTGTCCTGCAGCCTGGTGTCCTGCAGCCTGGTGTCCTACAGTCTGGTGTCCTGCAGCCCGATGCCCTGCAGCCTGATGTCCTGCAGCCTGGTGTCCTGCAGCCTGGTGTCCTGCAGCCTGATGTCCTGCAGCCTGGTGTCCTGCAGCCTGGTGTCCTGCAGCCTGGTGTCCTGCTCCATGTGACCTGGAAACATCTGGCGAGGAGAGCGAGGCGAAATGCTCGGCGTTGCTCAGTGACTGTAAAACCCAAACTGTAGACGTTCCTGTGCTGACTTCATGCTGACTTCATCGCTAAAACATCCATGAAGGACAGTTTTAACACAAACAGGCTGCATTTCTGAAACGTCGCCCTCATTGTGAACAGTACGTGTGTGCATGTGTGTTTTGTTAAGCCAGCAAAGATGCCAGACTGAAGGACGTGTCAAGAAGCTCTCTGACGTTAATCTGGACTTCGCAGCATTTAACTGGCTCTTAGTGTAAACGTGTCTGTTAGTTAAAGTCCTTTTATTTAAATACCAAAACGCCCAAAACGTTCGCTGGAGACAGGCACCAGCATCCCTCCTGACCCGCAGGACAAGAGTGTGAAGAGGATGGATGGATGGATGGATGGATGGATGGATGGATGGATGGATGGATGGATGGATGGATGGATGGATGGATGGATGGATGATCTAAGTATAATGTGACACCATCTTTTTAACAATTAGCTTTGTTCTTGTAGTGTTTTAGTGCTGACTGGCCCAGCCGACATGAACAGTGAATGGTTTAATAATGTTTGATAATCGTTTTCTGTTCTTTTTCCTGTTTTCTCGAGAAAAGTTAATTTTGCATTTTCCCAATGGTTTTCCTGAGCTATCAGGTTAATTTTACATGTTTCTGATGGTTTTCCTGCCCTGCGACAGACTGGCGACCTGTCCAGGATGTACCCCGCCTCTCGCCCGGAACGTTAGCTGGAGATAGGCACCAGCACCCCTCCCGACCCCACTGAGGGACAAGGGTGTTCAGAAAATGGATGGATGGATGATGGTTTTCCTGTTAGTGTTTCATGTTTTTCTCAATAAAACCATCAGTAAATTAACTTGTTAAAAGAAAATGCAGAAAATGGCCACTCTGTAAAAAGCATAAACTCGTCTCCAGACTATTTTTGAAATATTCCACCAAAGTGGGCGGAGCCAATTTGCTCAGAGGGGCGTGGCTAATTGTGAGGGTGAGTGGAAAAGGTCAAAGGGGTCGTGGTCAGGAGCAAACTTAATGACTCATGGTTTAGGGATCCTATGGTGAAGATGGATCTGTTCAGTTCAGAAGAATCCATCATGAATGATACCAGTGGATTAGATGGACTTTGAGGAGAATGTGAGAATGTCTTTAACTCTATGGTATAATGTGGCCACAAATCAGTTGAATTGCATTAAACTGGCAGGATCATAAGGATATTTGTTTGTTTTCTAGGTCCAGCTCCTCCACTGGAAGCTGAGAGGAACTGCTTCATCAGCTGGATGGAGAAAAAGATATGGGCCTAGTCAAAGCCAAGATCTCAATCTCATTTAAATGATTAAAATTATTTGCCCTTTTACATTTCTTAAACTAAAAGTTTAATCAAAAAACATTAGCAGTGTTTTTCAAAACTTTTTCTCACCAGCAGGAAACATAATTTTAGGCTTTTACCAGTGAAGCTGCTGTTTTGTAGGTAAATGAGAAATAAATCCATTGTTATGTCCAATGTATGATTTTTTTTTTACTTAGTATCAACTTATTTGGGGAAACATCCAGCAAAAACAATACCTAAGCCAGGAAATGAGAACTATATCCACCGAGCTAAAGGTCAACCACTGAGCCTTGGTGAGCATGCATCAGATTTCTGTGGAAGTCTCTGGGAATGGCGCCACACCCAGATCAGCATGTTCTGAGCTGGATGCTGGAGAACCTGTTGGATTTGCTTATTGTTCAACCAAGCTAACCCATATTAGCAATACAAGCTAGTAGGTTTTCAGTGATGCAAGCACTGAAGCGTGCTAATCCTTTATCTTACTCACAAAAGCAATTAAATATTAAAGATTCCCTCTTTGTTGTTCTCATGCATGAGCTAAAAATATTCCACATCTACAAATTGGTACAAAATATTTTTAACAAATATTTTCTAAAACATGCAGCTTATCCATGAGCATGCTGTTTTAGCACAACAGCTACTAAACCAAAGTCATTTCTTCAATATTTGTGTATACCATTTTTTTAAAAAGAACTAAGGAGGTAGCATGGTTAGCACCAGTTCTTTAGTGTTAGCTTGTGATGTGGCTCTATAACATAAATAATTCTTATATTGATCGCTGGAGAATGAACTCCAGAGAGTGGCTCCACAACTACAATGCCTGGTTCAGCTTTTATTCAAAGTCACGAGAAACAATCACATCATTGGCCCTGAGCACCAAAATGAAATGAATTAGCATTTATATCATCATCAATTGTCACCAGACAATTACTGACTTACTGCAGTGGAAGATTTGAAAACAATAACCTCTACTGCATATCCAGAACAATACAAATCGGAGAACCTGTCTGTGCTGCAGAACAAGTTTTACCGAACAATCCAAAAGCTGAGAGTCGACCAAATGCCACCGGGTTTCTTTTTATTGGCACAAGATGAAGCTTGGGACAAATAAAACTTATTTTTACCTCCAGGTGTAACTTATTTTTTTCTGGTTTTATGATAAGTTGTAATGGATTTTTCATAAAGGCGTCCTGTGAAAGCGTTGAGGCTGAATAGGTTTTAGATAAACACACTTCCACAGTTTAAAAATAAACCAAACAGTAAATGGAAGAAAAAATGGAATTAATGTGTCTCGTTCATTCACTCCAGAAGAAATAGTTGTTGCAACTTTAACTAGACCGAATCCAGAAGACGTTTTTTCAATAAAAGGCAGCTCACTCCAGTTTGTGTCCTTGAGTTTTCCAAGTCAAACTACTATGATTTCCAGAAATTACAGTCATGAATGAGTGGTTGGCAGTTTGATTCCATCGTAAGCAATCATGCTGGAGTGTATAAGAATGGATGGATGTGGTATGTGGTTGAAAAGCTTTCAGTGGTCAGAAAGCCGTGGACTCGATTAGCCAGCAGGTTCTTGTGTTCAAGTCAAGACAGGCAAACGCTGATGAGGCACAATCTTTACAGGAGGATGTGAAGGACTGTAAAACGCCTGGAGAGATGCAACAGAAACATCCTGGTCTCTGGATCCAAGACTAAATCAAATGACAACAGAGCAAAACGTCACATGGATCGCCTGAATCCAGTCAATAAATGATGAAAACTCAAACGTACGACAATCCTACCTGTCAGAAACTCTGTATTTACATTTGGACTGATTGAGAATACTGCTTGAAAAATATGTAAATTAGAAAAGGACAAGCTTGGGAAATTACTCATTGACTGAGGAAACATTTAAAACAAAGGTAAGAATAAAACTGAGCTTAAAAGCAGAACCAAAGTATGCGTCAAAGAAACCCAGTTTTCCAGCCGATTACTCAGACAATATTCCACTGAAGGCATGAGATATTTTTGAATGAAACGAATTCAATGTCTAGATGGATTCTGGACTAAAATAGCTGGAAAATATCCAACTATTGTGTCCTGCTTATCAGAGGTCAGGGTATCAGATCCTAATTTAATGAAAACTAAAACATTTTGACGCAACAAGTTTGCATATATTTTTTAAGGACTAATTAGGTTTTACAGTGGAGTTAAACCTAATTACCGGATAGCTCTTAAAAGCACTGTTCTTCTACAGCGACCCGTCACAAATGACTCAGAGATGATCATAAATCTCCTCCAGATCCTGGAAACACAGTCAGAACAAAACCCAAACTACTCCTCCAGTTTCTGAGGTTCAACAGCCAGAAGGGCCACATTTACAACACCATAAAGTTTAAATATTATGGATGTTAACATAATGCAACTTTGTATAAGCCCTATTTCTCCTCATTTTGGCTAACCTAGTAAATATGGATTTAAGAGTGCCTTCAGTTTATTCACAATTTCCAAAGTTGTTTTTGCCAGTTTATTCATACTTTTTCCAGTCCAGCTAATTTGTCTGTGAACATAACACACCTGGCTGTTGGTCATAAATGGTGCTATTTATAAAAGTTTGAAATAACTAGCTTAGAAACCGAACAGTACCTCCTCCCTCCGCAACAAGGGAGGAGGTTTTGATCAAATTACAAACTTTCCCTGAATTCACTCCACAAGTTACATATAAGTTAGTTTTGTCTTATTTAAATGCACAAAGTTATTTGCACTAAAAACTAGACTGAAAAACTTGGTAAGATTTAGTGTTTTTGCAGTGCATCCTTTCAGTTCAGTAAAATAAAATGCTGATTGATTTGTTTCAGTGTAAAATATGTAGCAGACTCAGAAGGTGTTTACATCCCTGCTGATGTTTTTTTTAATGTATTGTAAATGGTCTGTTATATTTTTTATTCATATATATGCTGAACATTTTTTTTATTCATCCTACTTTGTTACACATTTCTCTGAATGTTAGCATGCTATTCAGTGAACAGTCTCATGTTGTCATAAACGTCGTTTCCCCTTAAATCGGAGCAGCATTAAAAACATACAAAGGACGACATGCTAACCAGTTTTTTTCCACACGTGGCTAGGCTACATGAAGGTGCGGCACTGTCTCCATGGTAACGATTAGGCGTGCCTTCTCCATAGTTCGATATTTGATATCTTTCTAATCACTTGTGCTCATAAAGTAAATGAACGTTAGTTTTCTTACCTTGTGTTCCCTGTAAATCCGCGATTACACCGAGGGCTGTCAGTCATTAGCTGTCAGTCATTATGATTGACGGCTGCAATCCATCGCCGCCATCTTTCCTCTTTAAAAGTTATACAATAAAATGATAAGTTTGGTTGGCATCCTTTATGCAGCCAACTGCGCAGCGCCTTATGACTATTTTTTTAAAGTGAAATCATCTAAATTAAAGCGACATTAGGTTACAGATGTCTGCGCTTAGACCAGCTTTAAGAGCGTATTTGTTATTTTGAGGTACGTCACAGCGGAGTGGGCGGAGTTCTGGAGAGCGTGACGTCACGTCCAAAGGGTCAATAGAGTAAATGGTTCTTATTGTTCCACAGTGTGAAAATTCAGTTAAAGTTCAAGATTACAACTTGAGGAAAGCAAACTGTTCACTTACTAAGAATAACATGCTAAAAGTCAGAGAAATGTGTAACAAAGTAGGATGAATAAAAAAATGTTCAGCATGAATAAAAAAATATAACAGACCATTTACAAAAGATTAAAAAAAAACATCAGCAGGGATGTAAACACCTCCTGAGTCTGCTACATATTTTACACTGAAACAAATCAATCAGCATTTTATTTTACTGAACTAAGGACGCGCTGCAAAAACACTAAATCTTACCAAGCTTTTTCAGTCTAGTTTTTAGTGAAAATAATTTTGCACATTTAAATAAGACAAAACTAACTATGTAACTTTTCAGCAAGAAATAGGAGTTTTAGTCAATAATTCTTTAATATTGATGAAAAATTAGTAGTTCCACTGGAAGATTATTTCACTTATGAAAAAATATCTTATTAGTGAAATAATCTGCCAGATAAACGAGAATTTTTTCATTAATATTAACAAATTATTGATTGATTTTCTCCGTACTAGTAAGTTAATTTGGTTTTATTCCAAGTAACATATTTGCACCAGAAACTAGACCAATATTTGTTCATATTTAGTGTTTTTGCAGTGCGCTGATTCATTTATGTTGCCAGCATCTTTTCACTTCTGAATGCTTCGAGGCTGAAGGGCTGGAAAAGTCTCAGCTGACTGAAACATTTGTTCTGCATTTTAGTTCAGTTTGAGTGAGTAGGAGAAATTAACGTAATTTAAAGCAGAAGCTCTGCATCTCATTTGGATTCTTAGTTTTATATTTAAAAGTGACTTTGTGAGTAGCTTGTTCGTTTCTTCCTGTTGTGTTTTAGCCTCTGGTGAAATCCAGCGGTGGAGGATCTGTTTCTCCAGGAACAGGTTTTTCTTTTTAAAGCCCCACCCATATTTATTTTCCCATGGGAGTCCACTAAATCCAAAATGACAGTTACTGAATCCCTCCTTTCCTACAGGAACTTTCAGTAATGAAGCAATACTTTAATGATGTAGAGGATGGGAGGAGAAAACCTGTCAAACAAATCTAGTTTTTTTTATGAGACGGAAGCAATCAGGTATGTGCAACACTCAGTTCAACAGTTCTAACTCTGTTTTATACTTCAGTCCTTTGAGTTTGCATCTTTTTTTTACTTTAGTATATAACCAATCAATCCCATAAAAGCAAACAGGATTTACTGACGTATATAGTTGATGATGGTGCATCTTCTGCTTATGATGATGTGGAAACAAAAACCATCTTCAATCTGATAAAACCAGCCAACAACTTCCTTACAGAAGGAAGTCATTTATCATCCCAGCTTCCAGACACAAACAGGAACTGGACTTTGCAAAAATTATTAAAACCAGTTAAAAATACATAAAACAACAACTTGTTCCAGTGTTATAAGTGAAAACAACTGCCAATGAAACTAATACTTTCTATCAATATTCTACAATTATTGACTAAAAACAAGTGGAAAAGTTATTTGTAAGTTACTTTTTTCAAGTGTACAAAGATATTTTAGATTATTTGGTAACATTTTGTTTGCGATCATTTATATATTCTAATTTTCTCTTGTTGATGAAGAAAATAAGGAAACATTATTTAATGTTCAGAATGCAGAAAACAAGAGAAGGTAGTTCTGTCTGAATGACCACAAACCAAAAGCTGATTTATTACAGAAAGTGGTCAGACTAGTTTGTGGGTCAGTCAAGCACAGTGTTGCCATGGTGACTGAAGCAGGTACTGGTGTTTTTACCATTGTGGGTCAGTACCAAATCCTGCTGGAAGATTAAATCAGCATCTCCATGAAGTTTGGAGCAGAAGGAAGAATAAAGTGCTATAACATGTCCTGCTCCATGGCTGCTGTGACTTTGGACTTTTTAAAACCCAGTGGACCAGAACCCAGAGATGAAATGGCTCCTGACCGTGACGGTTCTGGTTCCATCTGGCGGTCGCTTTGACTCCAGCTCTTCGCAAAACTTCCTCACTCCCATCAGTGGACTTTGCTTCACAATTTTTTCAAGGCTGTAGTTCTCTGTTTTGCTTATGCACCTTTCTATATCACACTTTTTCCTTCCACTCAGCTTTCTAGTAGCAGGCTTGGATATATTCTGGTTGGTATGAGGTGGTTTTCAGTCTCTGCAGAGCTCAGGTGGAAAGCTCATCAGAAGAGAGTAATATAAAAAGTGCATCTAAATTAATTAACATATTTTCAAAACATGAATTTATTTTTGTAAATCAATAAATCAAGGAATTATTGACTTAAAACAAACTCCTATATCTTTCTGAAAAGTTACTTCTAAGTTAGTTTTTTCTTCTTTCAGTTGTACTGAGGTATTTGCACTGGAAATTAGAACAAAACTACTTGGCATCATTTTGTGTTTTTATAGTGTATCAACTAATTTTTGCTCATCTAAAAATGTCGGTTTTTATCAAATTAAAAATCAAATGAATTTTTTGATGATGTTCCTATGACTGTTTTCTACCTGAAGCCAGCAGTTTTCTGCCTCCCTCCCCTCAGCTGGCTCTCATTATCTCAAGTATTTCCATCAACGTTTCCACCTGAAGGTCCTGAAACCACAAACAACAAAGGCCCAGATTTTCCAACAAGCTCAGCGTTCCTCTGATGCTGGAAACGCTCCGCATTGTTTGATCAAAGCTCCAAAATGTCAGAGCATTTTGTGTTTTCTTTCCGTTCTTTCAGAGAAAACAAACTTGCAGCAGAACAACCCATTTGGTGTGACAGTCCGGCCTCTGCTGCTCTATCAGGCCACATATTGTTGAGTCCCTGTGAAAGTCTGCTTTCCGATGGCGGAGCTGAGTGTGAGATCTGACAGCGAGACGACACAGGAACACGATCTGCTGACCAGCTCCAGTTTGCTACGGCCAGCGTTTCCTCCGCTTCCCGCCTGCCGTCCATTAAAGGCCGTCATGGTGGATCCTCAGAGACAGAGACTGTCTTTCACCAGCCTGTGCTGTGACTCAAGGACTCTTCGCTATGCTTACATCCATCACAACTGAGTGGATTCAGAGATTTAGGTCAATATTTCCACATATTTTCTGGAAAGTTAACAAAAATGGATGGAAATTTTGACATTTTACTGCAGTTATCTTTGCTTTTTTAGATGCAATATGGGGTAAAGTCATGCAAACTATAAAAATAAAACTTAATCTTCAGTCAAGTTTTGTTTGAGACACTTTGTGTAAAATTTCCAATATTTAATTATTGAGGAATTCTTACAGTAACAGATTAAAGACACTGTAAAAAAGTAAAATCATATCAAGTATTTGTGTCTAGTTTCTCGTCCAAATATCTTATTACCCTTTAAATAAGACAAAACTAACTTATAAGTAACTTTTTAGCAAGATATATGAACTTGTTTCAGGTCGATAAATACTTAACATTGAGTTAAAGAAAGAACCAGTTCCACTGGAAATAGAACTTTTCATTAAGTTTAAGGAAATATTTAAATAAAATAAACTCCAGGGTCATGTTGAAAAGTTACTTGTATGTTTGTTTTGTTTTAACTCTCTATGGCATGTCTTTTTGTTTTTTGGGGAAAAAATATTTTCCTGCATTCCTTGGGAGCTTGGTGGCCCTTAATTACATATCAGTCATAAAATTGGACCCTGATACCTCCCGGAACCGGATTTGGGTTTGTTGCCTGAGGGCAACGGTATGTCATAGGGGGTTAATTCAGGTGTAATAAGATATTTGCACTAGAAACTAGACAGAAATCCCCGGTAAGATGTAATGTTTTTGGATGAATGCTCTCTTGGCCGGTTTGAACTGAATTCCAGATAACAAAGAGCAAAATTTTTGAGTCAGCAAAAAAACAGGACTGAGAAACAAAACTATGATGTGTAATTGTGTCTTTTCTAGAATGGAAACATTTTCTACTGGATTGCATCAGAAAGAAGAGAGGATTTCCTCAGCCGGGTCGGTTTTAAAGCGAGCCCAGCTCAGTGAAGCCGGTCCGGTGTCCATGGCAACACGTTTGAGCTGCAACAAGAAGCTTTTTGTCCTGATGGGCCACTTTTCCGAGCTTTGCAGTGACTGGTCTCCTTTTTATTCCCCCTCTCTCGCTCCCTCTCTCTGTGTCCATCACATCAGAGCAGATTTTCCCAGGGTGCACGGAGTCCCTGCATGGGGGAGTGTTTACAGGATGTTATCTGTGTCAGTCTCTGTGGAGTGGGTTCTGGTGGAATGCTGGAACGGGATGGAGGAGGAATTTCAAAAGGAGGAGTGACGAGAGACAGGCACAGAGAAAGGGTGAGAGAAAGAGAGAGAGGGAGAGAGAGTATAAATAAATCCCAAGGAAGCTGGTGCTCACAGGCGCAGCTGGACTTCTGGATAACTGGACTGCAGCCCACTGGAATATTTAGCCAAAAAGGTGAGTTTTTATCATTTATTTAGCAGAAAGATAGAAAGAAAGGAAAGGAAAAAGAAAGAAAGAAACAAAGAAAGAAAGAAAGAAAGAAAGAAAGAAAGAAAGAAAGAAAGAAAGAAAGAAAAAAGAGAGAAAATTTAAGATTTTATTCAGTTACTTGCAGTTTTACAGTTTCAGTTTTTTTTATCATGACTCTGTTTTGTAGAGAAAAGCACAGAAACGGTGAAAGAAACCAGAATTTATGCTGCTTTTTTCCTTTTTAAATTGTAAATTTAAAATGATTTTCCGTGAAGCGGCGTTCTCTGCTGTGGTTTTCTGAAACACTTTGTGGTCTCTGCTGAAGCAGATAACCTGACCAGTGTTTGATCAAGAGCTCAGACGGACTCGCCTTTTTTTTCCCCCTTTTCATTAGATAAGCTTAGCTCCAACAAACAAAACCTTTTCCTAAATATGACCTTACTTCCCAGCATTAAACAACACAATCACACATTAATCACAAATTTGAGCGTGTTGCGTCATATTAAATTTTTAAAGTTGGCTTTAACTGTTTTTATTCTCATCAGCTGGCTCACATGTGGATGTTTGTAAAAGGACATGTGACTGAATAATGTGAATCTAATTAGCACGATGTTAAGAAAAGGCTGAAAAAGACACCAGTGATCTCATCTCTGCTGTAATAATTGGTGAGTCTGTGATCTGTAGCTACACACATTTGGACTTTCCTCCATGTTAGGACTGAGAGGCGTTCAGATTATTTGGTGGTAATTAAGCTGAAGAGAGACGGGTGGTTAAAGTCATGAACAAGTGCAGCGGGAGAGATTTGGGTGTGCCTGTTTCATGAAATGATTGAGCTCATCTCTCCAGAGTATTTTACATTGAAAAACAAATGATTTTACTGATATAAACCCTGATTTTCCCCTGCTCTGAACATCTGCGTTTGCTTTGGGCCTTGGCTGTTGGGGCAGTAAAGTAACGACCCCACAGGGCCAGCGCTGCTACGTTGCACAATAACTCACATCATAATCCATCTGTACATGGATCACCGTTGATTTCTGTTTCTGTGCAGAAGTGAATCATTTGTGCCTTTTTGAGTATTTTTTGTGATGTTTGTCAAAGCCATGGAGGCCCTGTCATTAAGTGCCGCTGTGAGGGCGCGGCTTGAAACTGGATGCCAACATGTACTGACATGACCAAGCCTTTCGTTTATTGTAGTGTTCGTTTGTCTTCTAGGAAAAAAACGCTTAGCGTCGCCTGTCTGTTTACTTTGACTCTTAAAGCTGCAGTTTGTAACTTTATAAAACATTTTTTAACATATTTATCGAAAATGTTGCCATGTCATGACAGTTTGTTATGCCTTCTGCCAGTGCTAACAAGCGCTGTCAATCACCCCTTGTGTGGCGCTGCTCTCTGCTACGTTGCAGCTAGCACAGAATGCTAAGGCTAGTGAGTACAGCCACTGATGATGGCAGACAAACGGTTTTCCTGTAACTGTAATCTGTTTCTCCACCACTAGAACATTGGTGCATACATGAGCATGATTGACAGCGCTAAGCCCCACCTCCTGGCTCTGATTGGTTGTTTTTGATGCATTTCTGCGACAGCATTAGTAGCTCAGGGAGAAAGTGGAGATCAATCTTTTCACAGATTATCTGTCACAAAATGGTGACAGTTTCAACAAATATCTGAAAAAATATATATAAAAGCTATATACTGAAAGTTTGAAAGTAGGTTTAAATAACACACTATAATGAACTTTACAAGGGTTTTTTCCATGTTTTCTCTCCTTTCAGGCACCAGCAAACTCTCTGGATTTCTGATTAGTTTTGGTTACTGTGACAAACTTAGAGATGAATAGTGTGGCAGACTGGCTCGTTGAAAACAGGGACAAGATCGAGAAAGGCGTGGAGATCATGGGCCAGGCCTCGGAGGTGCTGGCCGCCACCGTGGGCCAGCTTCACCCCATCCTGGAGGCCGTTTTCGTGGCTTCTGCCGAACTCCTCAGCAACCCGGATGGCAAGGAAGCTCGCTACCTGACTGAGCAGTTCGAAAAAGTCAACTCAAAACTGGAGGGGATCCAAGACGAGATCGACAAACTCGCACTGGAGCTGCAGAAAACCTCCATGAACAAACAGAACTTTGACCGGGAGGCGCAGATTATAAGTCAGTACGAAAAGTTTCAGGACTTTGTCAACGCCAAGCCGAAGTTCAGGGAGAAGAAGAAGGAGAAGTTCCTGAGCCATTATGAGAACACGGAGGGCGACCTGAACTTGGACGCCCTCTACAATGCCGTTACGGGCGAGACCACGTCGGGGGACCCCATGCTGGACACGGTGCTCTCCGTCGAGCAGCGGAGCAGGAGGGCGGTCGAGGATTTCTGTGCTCGACTGAAGAAACTGTTCGTGGTGGGCATCATCGCCGTCATGGGCCACGCTGCGCTCCAGGAGGGAATCGTCGGAGAGGAGATGGTCAAGAAGTGGCAAGACCGAATGGAGGACGTGGAGAAACGCATGAAAGCGGCCGTGGACGACTGCACCGAGAACTTCGCCACGCAGGCCAAGACAGACTTGGAGCACAAGCTCCAGGACAACCCCGGCACCGTCAACACCGAGTTCACCAAATCCCTCCTGGAGTTGCTGGTTAAAAAGTACGACTGGGTGAGCTGGTCCATCCGGGCCTTCGGAGACCGGGAGCGCATTTTCTTCTTCAACTGGCTGGCGGGAAAGAAGTACCACGGCAGCGGCGGAGCCAATTGGTTTGACATTCTGACCAAGAACAAGATCAAGGTGGTGGTGTCGTTCTGCGTCGACCCGCAGCCCATCAACAAGAGTCAGATCCAGGAGCAGATCGAGCAGCAGAAGCTGAAGGGCAACATGATGGCGGTGGCGTTGTCTTTGAACAAGACCTTCCCCACCTGCCTGGTCCACGCCGTGAGCCACTACAAGGCCGTGGTGGAGACCAACAACTTCAAGGAGGACTGCTACTACTTCGGGAAACACAAACGGGCCTACCTGTGCATCCATCCAGAGTAGACGCCCAGGACCAGTACGCACTCAGAGGAGAGACTTTAGGACATCTAGTCTATACGGATCTGTATCTAATGGTGTATAATCTGCTTTGGGGACTGCTTTGTGATTCCGTGTCTCGCAGAACTTCCTACTTCTTCTCAATGTTTCCTCTTAAGCAAATTAAGGTTTTCATAGAAAATGTCAGAGCCGGCTTCTTGGATTCATGTCGTTTGAGTCGACATTAAGCAGAAAGCTCGATATCCACCAGATGTTTCACCTTTCATTCACACACTCCACAATGGACATGCCTACAACAGATCTGTGGTTCATTTATAGTGTTAATTCATTACTGTCAAGAGTTTGAAACAACATGTTGAGCATAATCGGTAATTAAAGGCTGTCAAAATGTTTTAATTATCAGCAGAACTGTGTTGAGATTCTTTGATCAGAAGAAGGCGGCTTCTGTTTAGCTCTTACTGGGTTCATTTGGTCTGTAACTCCAACACTTTTAGATGCATCCCTGCTACTAAACGTCTGAATTACTTCCCTATTGGAAGCTTTGTAAAGGCTATTGGTCTGATCGAGCTGCTGGAGCAGGAATGCATCCAAACGTTGAGACTTGAGGACTGGAGTTTCAGACATCTGGCTTAAAGAAAGGTACTGAAGCTAACGGCTAGTCCAGGAAAAGCCAGAAGTTTGTTTCCAGGTTACAGAAAAGCGACTTTAGAAACAATTTGGATCAGATTTGCTTCAGGAGGTCAGTGATGTTGGTGTAAAAATAAAAAAATATAGCATTTCAAGACCTTTTTGCACTGAGAATGTGATTGTTAAAAATGTTTCTTGCAAGTTTTTTTTTTTAAATTTTTGTGAACGTTTTATTTTTGAGTCATTCTAAGATTTAAAATATCCGCCCAGACTCAGACCTTGGACTTGCCCTTTAGCTTTAGCATTAGCATTAGCTTTAACGCAACAGAAAACCTGAAATAAACCAATAACATGAGGCACTGACAGAGTTATGAACTCAGATCTATCTGTTTAGGCAAAATAAAATAAAAAAAATGACAATAAATATCAATATCATTTGCAGTTTATCTTATGTGGCAGCTTTGTAATTCTTGCTAAACATCAAAAAAATCTAATTTTAACTTGAAAATGCAGACTAAACTGAAGCCAACACATCAGTTTGGGATTTTTTCCAGGTGGGATCAGCAGCTTCAGCCTCTACCACCTGAAAACCACAACTTATTGTCTCTTTCATGTATTCATAAGCTTTGATGTTCTGGTCTGCCCGGTCTGAGTCTCATTGTCAATGTTTGTGTGAAAATAAAATCCACCTTCAGAGCTTCTACTTTATATTTAGAATGAACATTAGAATAATTCAGAATTTCCGTTTCACAGGAGATCAGATAAACTGCATTTGTCGCCTGGTTAAAAGCTCCAGAACAGGTGAGCCATTAGTCTGATAATCAAGATGTTTCATTATACCACAGAATATGCAGAATGTGAAGAAATTATCTTTTTTTTTTTACATTTGTTAATATTATATACATAAATGATGCTTTTGGTGCAATATATTAAAGCTGGACAAACCAAGTACAATCAGAATTATATGTATAATTCACTTTAATTTGTAATAAACAACAGAATAAGGCAGTCTTTGTCATCTGGTCATCATTAATCTGAGATTTAATCCCATTCTTGGGATCTAAACCTCATTAAAAACATGATTATATGTAATTTGTTCCTTACTTTTAGGCATTAGCAGTAAAGTAGCCATTTTATCTAGGTTGAGGAGCAACACCCTTTTTTCACCAGCCTAGTTGCTAGTGAGGCAGGGTGTGCCTCTTCCCTGTAACATGAGAGCCACATGACCAATAGGAAGACAAACAGGCTGGAGTTTAGATTTCTTCCGCAAACTTTAAGAGGTGAGTCCGTTTCTGGTCCAAATCTTTCATAGTAAAGATAGAAAAGAACTGCGACAGTTTGGTTAGATTATAATCTGATCGATTCTTCCGATCTGACTTCACTCCAGTCTGTTGTTACATAATCGAGTCATTTTCCCCATTTCTGCGCATTTCTTTCGTTTTAAGCGCATATTCCATAAAAACGCAGCTCTATTAGTTGAAGTCGGATGAGTGAAGGAAAGAATCTGCCGAATGTTTCCAGTTTTAATCTAAATATAAAAGTTTTCGGGGGTTTCGGTGCCAGCTCAGTTTTTCCAGGAAGTGTCTGCTGGAACTTTTCGCTCCTCGTTGCGCTGCGCAGAAACTCGCCGCAGATCTGCTAACATGCGCTGTTTGTTTGTTTCTCTGCGGCCTTCTGCTGTAAAATGATCCGATTAGAGGGCTTGTAGCGCGGACTGATCGATACGTTTTACATTAAGAGGGTGCATTAACAGGGGGTGGAGGGATTTCCGCCGCAGTGGTCAGACTGGGCGGTGAACTGGGTAAACTGGCACTGACAGAATGAAGCCCGAACTGTGTGCTACTCTTTATGCTGCTCTCATAAACATGTTTCTAATCAGGCGTTCCTGCTTTTATCAAAAAACTTTACATATATTCACGGTTTATGTCGAAGAAAATGAGTTTTCTGTATATTTACCCAGACTTTCTCTAAATGTTGTGATGCTGCTCAATATTTCCTCAGACTTTTTAGAAGTTCTTTAAACATTACTATTTTTTTTGCTACACTTTTAAATAAAAAAGGCCAGATAAAGGCCTACCACAGTATCAGGGATGTTTACAAATTAAATCCAAATCAATTCTCATGTCTTACAACTGAAATAAATGTCATCTAGTCTGGAAATCAAACCATGTACTGTTTGTTTATATGTAGGCTTATATCTATCTTTTATTCTCCTACACTTTTAATTCTGTGTTCATAAAACTACTGTTTGAAAGTGTTTTGAAGATGTATATAAGATGTATATAGTATTTTTTTTTACCCATTTAAAAGTGTAAATACAAAGAATAATTTAATGTTTATGTGTTTGTGTTGAATTTCAAAGTGTTTTTTCATTTTGTTTCTGAGTTAATGTTCCCCTCCTTCATTATAACCTCATGCATGGTCCCCATTCTGATTTGTAGGATTATTATGAAAACTTCCCCTAAAACTTTTGCTGTCATATCCAAGATGTAAACTCTTATCTGTGTGACGTTAAAATCTGAGACGTCCTCTTGATAGGAATTAGAGGGATAAACACCAAAGAAACTCAGCTCTAACATTTACTGATATTTTTATGTAAAATAATCTGTTAAAGTTGGAGATGTGTTGAGCTCTAGGCATCATCACAGCATCTCCCATCCAGAAATAAAAACATTCATAACAGCTAAAAACAGGGGAAAAAAACAATAATACAACATAAATTTTATGATAAGTTACATTTGTCTAGTTTCTATTGCATGTATCTTAGCATAATTGAAATAAGACAAAACTAACTGCTTGCTGAAAAGCTACTTTTAAGTTAGTTTTGTCTTATTTCAGGTGTACTAAGTTATTTCTACTGGAAATTAAACCAAAGTATTTGGTAAGATTTTGTTTTTGCAGTGTACATCACATTTTTCTCCATAAATCAGGATAAAACATGAACCCCAATCAGCTCTGTTCTGTGAGCATCCGCTGCTCCTGTTTCTGAAAATGTGATTTATTTAAAGCACTTCTGTGTGGAAATGAGACGCTGAGCAGTGAGGATGGAGATTTTTCACACAAATCAGATTCAGTTACTGTAAAAGCTTTACCTTCTGCCTCTTTTTGCAGGAATCTATGACCCTGACCATGTGGGGATATTTAAATGTTTGCAAAACACTTTTTAACGATGGTATTTTAAAATTAATATTAATATTTTTGGCCAAAGTAGCAAATAATTGTGAAATTAAAGAAATATTATCCAAAATTGTGCTTATTTTTATGACAAAAATTAAAGTCTGTAAATTGTGGGATGCTTTAGTATTCATCGCCACATTAGTGAAGAGTTTGCAGAACACCAGCCAGGCTGGAAACGCTTAGATTTTGGTGTCATGACAGGATTCTCCAGCAGTCCTCAAAATGTGAAAACAATAGTTGCAAAAAAAAAAAAAAAGGAATTTAAATTCAACAGATGCGCGATATATCAGCATCGACATCGGTATCGGCTGATATTAGTCATCGGTCGATAAGCAGAACGACTGATGTTTATTCCCATCTTGATTCTGTTTCAGCAGGAGCTTGGTCATGTGGTTTTGTTTGGTCATGTGACCATGATCCAGCAAAGGATTGTGGGAAGTTTAACTGTAGCTTTGATCAAAAGTTTTAAAAATTGACTAAAGCACTAAAAATTGACTAAAGCACTAAAAATTGACTAAAGCACTAAAACCCGCCTCTGGTTGACTCAGGTAGGAGATGGAGGAGATCGATCTTTTCACAGATTATCTGTCTCATATTAAACTGTTACCACATGGTGACACTGTATGTAAAAAGCATATTTTATTTTTTGTAAAAGTCCCATCCTGCAGCTGTAATGCAAAGAAAAAGGAAGTCTGGGAGTTTAAATGTTTCTGGAAACGTCTTCGTTAGCAGCCTGCAGTTTTCCCTCGGCGCTGTTTGATGGATCGGGCCGGGAATGGGCGCTATCTGCCGCCCGCAGCCTTCAGCTGTCCGCCGAGATAAACCCGGGGGAACGAAGCGACATCAGCAGAGGCAGGGAGGCACAAACCAGCTGACAGTTTATTTTCCATTGTCTTGTTGCCGTGGTTACTTGCTGAGGTTCACTGGAAAATGCCGGCTGGTCCAACAAGTTTAACCTCTTGTACTTAATCACGTCCCACGCCCGCTGCTCTGATATTGACCGAGGAGGAGGGCGGGGGGCGGGGGTAAAAGCTGCAGCTTCTCCATCAGATCAGCCAGAATGGGAGCAACACAATGCAAATAAAACACACCTGAAATAAAACACACCTGCTGCAGAAACTTCAGACTCTTAATTCTGTCCCTCACTGCAAAAACACCACAAGTATTTTTGGTCTAATTTTTAATGCAATTGTTTTAGAGAAAGTACTAATTATAGGTGAAATAATCTGCCATTGAAACAAAACATTTTTCCCATATTCTCAATTAAAATGTCTTGTTCTACTGGCAATTTATGTCACTTATAATTAGTTTTTAACCAACATTAATGAATTACTTGCTTTAAACAAGCTCCTATATTTTACTGTAAAGATAGTTTTGTCTTATCTCAAATGTTCGGAGATATCTGCATAGAAACCAGACTGAAAAGTTGGTAAGATTTGATGTTTTTGCAGGGCATAATTTGATTTCCTCCAAAGTTTCCAGGTTTGCAGAAGGACATGTCTGGACATGTCCAGCTGCATTTTTTATCCGTTTCCTGGCATCTGGGACAAAAGATTTTCTGGATTTTCCAACTTCAGTCGACTTCAGCTGAAGTGGAATAAAGTGAGACAGAAGCAAAGCATGTTCATGAAAATATGTTTAGATTAAAATCTAGAGCTCTCACTCCTGTGAAAATGCAGCTTAGCCACATTTATGTGCATCATACCTGAATTGCATTTAAAGTTTAGTTCCAACTCAGAAATAACTTTAGTTACTGGAAATGAATGTTTTTGTTTCAAATGCTTGCAAATACCAAATTATGCCCAAAGTAATTTTCTCTCCTTCTGCCTGGAATGTTTAAAGGTTTTAAACTGAACTCAGAAACTATTTTAACTTTAACAAAACTATGCTTGAGTTGAGATTTTTGTTTTGTGAGAATCCTTCAAGCTTCTCCGACTTCCCTAAGGATCAGAAGATCATCATTCTTGTTTTTTATGTTTAACCAACCAAGATGAAAATTTAATTAATTTAAAAGAGTGACCTGGGCAATGGAACAGGATTATTTAAGTTAAGTTGATCATGTTAGACCATGACGTAAAACCAGTTCAGCCCATCTTGGTGTTACATCATTATTGACTCAGACGTCTCTGGGTGTGACCAGCAGCTAAAACCGAAGCTCACTCGGCTCTTTCTCTCTCTTCTTATCAGGTTGTGCAGTTTTTCTAGAAGACTGAGGAGACAGGCTGCAGTTTGAAGACGTTTACAGAGCCGTAAGTGTATTTACAGAACCAGAAACAATCATTACACTGTAAAAACACAAAATCCTACCAAGTAACTTAGGTCCAGTTTGTAGAGCAAATATCTTAGTACACTTGAAACAAGTTAAAACTAACTTATAACTGACTTTTCAGTAAGATATAGGAGTTTGTTTTAAGTCAGTAATTCCTTAATATTAATGAAAAGTTACTAGTTCCATTGACAGATTACTTCACTTATAAAAAGTGCATCGTTTATCATATATCATAATTTGTTTCTTGTCATGATAAGAATTTCAATTAATTATGTTATTTTTTAAAGCTGTTCAGTTTATCAGGATTGTTATTTTTACTATTTTCTATACTGTTTGTGCAATGAGAGCATTAATAAATATCAATAAATTTGGAAATATGACTTAATACCTTTACAGCATGCAGTTTAGTGATACACTTCATTATGCGACTGGTGTTCTAAAGAAGAGTTTTACAAATAGTTTTCAGCAGCAGTTTTTGTGTTTGTGGGGCTATAAATACTCTAAAGTCACAGGCATACAGTTACCTTGAAAAAGAAGAAATAAATAGTTTTTATTGTCATTTCATTATCACAATGATGTCATAAAATATTGTGATCAAACCTTTAAGTCCTAATAACTAAACATTTTTCCCATGTTAGAAGTACCAATGGAACTGGTACATTTTCATCTGTGTGGAGGAATTATTTACTTTAATTAAACTCCTATTGACCTTTTGCAGCATGACGTCACGCATACAGGATCCCACCCCCATCCTGCTGGAGGGGAAAAAGCTGTTCATTGGTTTTACCTGTTAGTAATGCTGACATCTCCAGGGTTCATTTAACGGAGTTGTTGTACCGCGGCAGCGCGGCTACAGACCTAAAAGACCTTTTTGCCCTCCAGCGTTGGGCACGAAATTCCCGGATGTAAACAGTATTATAAGGGGTCTATTTCTTGCTGAAAAGTTATTTATAAGTTAGTTTTATCTTATTTAAAGTGTACTAAGATATTTGCACTAGAAACTAGAGTAAAAGTACTTGATTTTGTGTTTTTGCAGTGTTCTCATAATTTCTCTTTCTAAAGTGTAAGTTTCTGTTTTCTTTCCTTTCACAGGACAGTTTGAGACACCAGCCAACGATGGCGAATCCGTTACAGAAGCTTGTGGTGGAGAAGAAGGACATGGTGGAGACGGTGATGGAGGTGTTCGAACAGGGAGCCGAAGTGGTGGCCAGCATCGCCGGAGACCTCTTCCCCGTGTTCTCCATCGCTGCTCCCATTGTCAAGCTGGCTCTGGACAACGTGGAGAGCAAAGAGGCGGCCTTCATGAAGGAGCAGTTCCAGAAGGTCCGAGACCGCCTGGAGGTGGCCTCCGAGGAGCTGCAGCGGATCAACGACGAGATCAAGAAGAGTGGGATAGACGCTGCCTACTTCTCTGTGGAGGAAAACATCACCAACCAGTTCAGGAAGTACATGGACATCCTCAACGCCAAGGCGAAGTTCAGAGAGGTGAAGAAGAAGCTTTTCCTGGAACATTTCGCCAAAACCGGTGGAGAAAAGAACCTGCACATCCTCTACAACGCTGTGACCGGAGAAAATTTCTCCGGGGAGCCGATCCTTGAGATCATCCAGAACTACGAGGAGAAAAGCCGCCGACCGATGGAGGACTTTTGTGCTCGGCTGAAGAAGCTCTTCTGTGTGGGGCTCATTGCGCTTTTGGGGCACGCTGCCCTGAAAGGCTACGACGAAGATGAGGCTCTTCTGAAAGAGTGGGGGGAAAATATGAACAAAGTCCAAGCCAAAATGAACGCCGTCATCGAAGACTGCATCGTTAGCTTCCCTAAGCAGGCCGAACAGGACTCCCGCTGTCTGGTGAGAGACCAGGAGGGCTTAACCAACCAGCAGCTAGCCGACGCTATCATCGAGAAGCTAAAGAAGAAGTACGACTGGGTGGGCTGGTCCGTGCGCATCTTCAGGTCTCCCACTGGCCTGTTCACCAACAAGAAGGACTACCAGTGCGCCACCGGGAAGAGCCGCTTCCAGGTTCCCACGTCGGACGAGAAACTGAACGTCTGGGTGTCGTTCAGCTCCTCGCCTGAGCCCGTGGATAAGAGCCACATCCAGCAGCTGATCCAGAGTCAGAAGAAGCCCACCGTGGTGGGTGTAGCTGAGTTCCTGTTCGAGAAGCTGCCAGGCAACTGCGTCGTCCACACTATCAAAACCAGCAAAGACCTGGGCTGCTCCTGGAGCTTTGAGGACGACCTTCACTACTGGGAGGAGCACAAGAACTTCTACGTCTGCGTTCATTCAGCCTGAAGATTTAGAGAAATCTCTGTTTGCACAAATCATAGCGCCATGCTGCTCCGCCGTCCTCTGACCTTACAAATATTCCTCAGAATGTGCCTTTAGATATTATAAAGTTGAGAGTGTTTATGGGGTGTAGGTATCTAATGTGATCTGAGTGAAGCTAACAGCTATCAGAGCAAAGCCATTCAACAAGGGAGACATTAAAGACTCAAATTTCAAAGGTTTATGATATTTAACCAACTGCATCCATGTAACTGCAGCTTTTCCAATCCCAAAACAAAAATAAAACGGTAAAAATAAGCAAATTTATTTATCCATATAAATTTGCATTGTTCAACAGAAGTGTTTAGAAAAAGCTCCATGAACATTGTTGAGTTAATAAATTAATAAATTACACAATCATCTTCTGTAAGCGCAAATTTTCGGAGCAAGTTCAGTTTTATTGTTTTTGTCCGTTTTTATTTGCTTGCTGTGTCTATGTGTAGCTGTTAGCGTTACTCACTGACTGGTGTCCTGAAAACAAGTCAGTACTCTAAAAAAGTTTTTTATAAAAAGTTTTATTCCTTTCTTGTACCTTCAATTGTGAAAAAAACAAAAACACATCTCCTAATGCCTTTTTCAGAACAAATTGTTGAGGTACACTCTGATGTGAGTTTCATAATAATATTCCTCTTCTTCAGAAGATTTTGGCAGGATTTAATGTTTCAACCTGGACATGTTTAATTAGAAAGAGAAAATTGTTATGGCTGTTCTGGTGCTGATGCAGCTGAGCTCACCCTAAACGGGCCGATGTATCCAAACCACAGAAAACTAGAAACCCTCCGTTTGATTTCACTTTTAGTTCTTTTTTGGCCTAAAAGAAAATGACGCATTGTTTCATTTTCTGTCCACTCATCAGCACTGATGCTCCTGCAGCAGCTTCTGTCGGCTTTCAGTGCCTCAAACATCTCCAAGCTTCTTCCTGCGTTTTGTGAACCTGAAATTCACTTTTCAAAGGTTTAGTTGAATTTTTGATTCATTTTGGGTTTGGGGATTTTTTGTTTTTATCAAAATGTTTCTAATCTGACATTCATGTTCACACTACCTGCTGACAATGCAGTCATATTCAATAGATTATAAGCTGCTTGAAAGGATCAAGCATAGTTTTTATTAATTAAGCCCATATTTCTGTTTTAAAATGTTTTTTTTTTCATCTATTCCCCCAAATGTTTGTTTTCTTTGTTTTATCTGTAAACAGAAAACCATCATAATTAACAGAAGGCTTAAAAATATCAGTCTGTGTGGAATTTATCTATATGATGTCTCACGTTTGGTGAATTTATTAATGAAACTAATGAGCTTTTAAAAATATCCAGATTTGTTGAATCTGACTGTATAATGCACTGACTTCATAGTTGTGGGTTTTCTGCTCTTATGTCATCGTTACGTTTCTTCTTTTTCAATTGATATAAAAATCAATAACACATTTTTACACACAGTTTTATTTTACACTTTCTATTGATATGGTTCCCTGTAACCAACAAAATAAATAAATATTGATTAAATGCATGGTTTGTATATTGTTGTGATTTACTGATTATTGTTTCTTAATCTCCTTTCTGTAAACAACAAACACCTCTATCTGGAAAGCTTAGTCATGTTTCATAAACAGCAAATCTTCTCATTATTGAAGGCAGCATGTTTTTTAAAATGCATAATTATAATGAACATGTTTTACAGATAAACTGTAGTTATTAACGACACAGATGTGTAGCATCAGGCAGACTTGTTTATGTTTATATATATATATACTGTATATATATATATATATATATATATATATATATATATATATATAATATTCTGAAAAAAAGAAATAACTTATTTTTAAATATAAATTAGATAAAAATACTTTATACATTAGAATTACAGACATTTTGTGGTAATTTATGGATTAGAAGTTCATCTCTTAAGTTTGACTGCACTGTTTTAACACCCAGCTCTTCTGATGACAAATCTTACAACCTGGTAGAAAAAAGGAAACGGATTCGGTGGTTTTCTAGTTTGGAAACACCCACAGTGCTCTATAATCATGCGGTTGTGGCTTTTCTATATTCGGCTTGCAGACTCTCATGTCTTGCATTTTACAACAGCAGCAGGTCAACAACAGGGAGTCGAGGATCGTTGGTTTGAACCGTTTCTTATTTTATTGTCTCTACTGAACTTTAAAAATGAATTCTGCTCTGCGTCTCAATGCAGTTAGAGTAAATCTTCATTATTAGATTTAGAAATGTCCGTCCATCCTATTTTTATATGCAGAAACACACATAAGGTCAGCGTAGAGAGATCTAATGCAGAAGTCAGTTTAAAAGTTTAAAGCAAAAACAAAAGTTTGGATTAAATCTTGATTCTTGAAAGCCCGGACTCTCCGGGAAATGTGTAATAAAAGACAAAAATATGTCCACATAATCAAAGTTTGTTAGTGTCTAAACCACAAGTAGACTGAGAATAGACTGAAAAATGTCAAGATTCCTGTAAAACTGACCCTGACATTACAATACAACAATGTTTTTGTTTAAAGTCAAGATACCACTTTATTTTGGTAGGCTAATTGCGCTAGCTTAAGCTAGCACTAGCTTAGCAACTGCTAAGCTAAAGCTAAGTTTTTCAGTTAGGGTGTATTTATTTCATTATTAGTTGTTTATTGTTGCCATTTCAAAGAAGTTTTACTTTTAAACAATAGTCTGTGTTTTTTCTACTTGGAATGTCTTAATGACAAACTGTTGATGTGGGAGATTTCTAACTAAATCCAAATTATATCATTTAATCTTTAAAAACCGACCTCGGGCTAATTTTTTATTTTTTATTCTGGAACTGCAAATAATCTGGGATTATTTAGGCCTAAATATTTACATGGAAAGTACATTGTTTATGTTTGCACATTGTGGAAAAACAGAAAAATATGAAAATAAAAACTGAAATAATAGTGTCTAAACTGAATAATAATGTTAATACTTAGCTGAAATTCTTTTTTCTAGCTTTGGCCATAGTCCTACTGGAGTCACCTTAAAATCCTGCACATACCGTAAGATACAAACTTCATTCTTTCCACAACAGAACAATTTTTGTCACAACAGTAGTAGATTTTTTAATTATTACTGGGATAGTTGGGATTTCCTATTTAATATAAAGTTATATATTGTTTTCTGAATACCTGCATGCCAGTTGCATGCTGGGAAAGAAGATCCAGCTCTCACTAAGTAAACCTTTCACCGATGCGCTCCTGAGTTCCTCTGCCAAGTTTCACTGCCTCCTCAGCATTTCTGCATGAAAAGCTTACTTAGCCTGAAAACAGAGATACCTATAAATATTGGAGGAACTCTTGGCTTAAGTGTTGCAGAGGAAGCAACAATGAAACTCCCCTTCATTTAATTAAAATCCAATGTCCTGTAAGTAAAGATGATTTAAACCAAACCCTTCTGCAAAGTACCACAGTTTGCACAAAACACCTGCTGGCTTCTGTCCTGTTGGTGGCTGGGAAAAAAATGCATAGAGCTGTTATGGTAAAACAGAATAATTTATTTATGAGAGTGACAGCAGGCTGAGAAATCAGGCCGAGAATGACAGAAACACTGAGGAGTGTTTTCAACGGGATGCAGGTGGTTTATTGCAAACAGGGTTCAGCTGGGAGGGAAGGCAAACAGGCAGACTGACAGGAGATTAATAATAAACACAGATTGACAGATAATCTAAGAAAATTAATATAAGAAATGGAACAAGAATAAACTAAGAAACAAGCATAAATACATAACCACTATATGACATCTGCCAACTAAAGAACACAAATAAGACAGTCAGAGCATTTGAACATAAAGACTTTTTATTGTGAAATTTGAACTTGATAACGGAAACTTAGCATTAATTTTTGTTGTCTTGTTCATTATTTATGAATAATAAACCATAAACATGCCCATCCCTTATCCTAGATGTTAAAGTCGGCTGAATCTGCTACACAATGTGACTTTTATTTAAAGAAAAATCTGTAATTTTATCATATTTGTTCAACGTTACCATGTTGTGACAGTTTGCTATGAGACAGATAATATGTGAAAAGATCGACCACTTCCACTTCCTTTCTGAGCTTTTATTGGTCACTGGTGACGATGCTAACTAGCGGTAACATTCATGATAGCTCTGCTGTATAATGTAGCAGACAGGCTAAGTTAGGAGGGTGTGAGTGTCACGTACACAAGCATGACTGACAGCCCTAAGACACTCCTCCTGGTGATGTACTTCTGCAGTTAGACCTGGGAGAAGGCAGAGAAGTCCGCAGATTATCTGTCTTATACTAAACTATCACGACATAGTGACATATTTACATAACAAATATGTAAAAAAATAAAAAATAAAAAAAGCCTTAAGTTTAAGTTACATATTGTAGCTAAAACTCATAAAGATTGGGACATTTCTTCTACATTCCACTAGAGGGAGCTAGCTTACCGCCAGTCATTTGTTCTTCCACTTTTGTGAACCAGAGAAAGAGATTCAATTGTTTGGTTGTCGTCTGTAATCTTATTACTGTCAGCAAAATTGAACTTGATTGCCTAAAAGAAACAAAAGTCAAAAATTTCTCTGAATTTTAATCAATTTTCACAAATTTGTTAATAAATGTATTGTATTTGGTTTTTGATTTAAGAATTACGAGTCTATCAAAACATCGCAGTTGATAAACAAATGCTGCCGAGAACGACGGCCTGATCCTCACTCTGCATGAATGTGCTGCTAAAGGCCGCTCCTGGCCACGCCCAGGCTCCTGACCCGCGGCAGCTGAATGGGCGAAGTGATGGTTTTAATCAGGACAGAATTACTTTTCCATGAACATTATTTGGCCAAACAGCCCTGCATTGAGACCGGCCCATCAGGTGACCTCAGGAACGCAGACAAACATCACGCGGCAGCGGAAAGATTCGCCCGCCTTGCAGGAAGACACTAAACCTCCGACCATCACCTCAGAGTTACCCTTCACTCATTGGCCATTCTGATCAGAACCAACTAATTCAGATTTTTAAAAATTAGACCCTTATTAAATCAGGTGATTGAACGTCAGATGGTGTGTGGAGGGGCGGGGAGTCTCTGGGGGATTATCTCGTCATCCTGAAGGATCTGAAACAAGCTTGAGGAGTTTCTGTCATTAGAAACCTCAGTTGGTCTGTTACTTTGGCCCAGAGTGAACAAATCCTCAAAGAAAACCCCAGAGCCAAAGTTTTATTCAGGAACTTTGGGACATTTACATTCAGACAGTCAAGAGTCAAACATTGGCGACTGGGTAGGGATTGACTTTAAATCTGCTGAGTGAAGCATTTCCCACACCACCAAAGTCCTTTGGTCCGCTTGTTTGGTCTGGCCCAAAAATGAATTTTATTTTTTTCATTTGGTGCGGTTTGCGTTCACATTGTGAATTTCACTTGAACTATACCTTCGGTACTTTAGCACTCTGTAGTAAACAAAGCAACATGAGTGACAATCAATGCTCCAAATGGACAGAAACGATGGGGGTGGGACGGAGAACAAACCCAAAATGAAAAACAAACATGGCGCTGTTTTTTTCACTTTATCGTTAATAAAATCGCTGAACACAATCACATTCCTTCATGTTTTTTCTGCCAGTTGGTGCAAATGCTCAAACATTGAGGATGCACAGCCATCCATGTTTGTCCACAGCTCATACCCAACAATGGTGGCTCATGAAGTCCAAAAAGGCTCCTGTTTCCTGTAGTTTGGACTGAGGTCGGTCTGTAAACAATCACACCAGAGTTTGTTTGGAAGTGGATTATTAAAAATAGGATCTCGGTCCAGTTGTTTCATCACACAGAATTGCTTACGTGTATTCATAGATGCACAAAAGGTCCGGATGACTGGGGGAGACAAACTGTGGTCTAGTTAAAGTAGACCAAAAGTGGCAGATGTGAAGACATGAATCCAACCCAAAGGGACACCAACTCAGGAAGAGTATTTGGATAATTTCACCTCCAAACATGTCTTGAGACCTAAAGAGGAATGATCAAGAGTCAACACACAGCGTCTGTTATTACAGCTGAAAACCAACGAACAAGCCCAAAGTCTGGGTGATGAACTCTGACCCGAACCTTCAGAGCCACATAAAGACAGTTACAAAGTCGGCCTTCTGTCTGAAGAACATTTCCAGGATTAGAGGACTGATGCCCCAGGAAGATCAAAAAAAATTCACCCAGTCACGTTGATTACTGCAGCAGCGTTTTCACATGTCTGCCTAAAAAATCAATCCTCCAGATGCAGCTGATCCAGAACGCTGCTGCTGGGGTTCTGACTAAAACCAGGAGGATCGAGAACATCACCCAGTTCTACAATCCTTCCACTGTAATGTTCCATACTGGTGTCTCTATTGGTGACTGTATGATGTTTTTATGACTTTTTATTTTTGTGTTTTTATGATAAAAAGCTCTTTCTGCTGATGTGAAACTGCCTTCTGTCTGAAATGTACAGATAAACTGGAGTGATTGACTGAAGGCAGCAGACGTTGCTCTAAAACCTCTGCTGGACTTTTTCACTTAGATGCTGCCGTCACAGAAGAGTAAATTAGCTTTTCCAAGAGCACTGATCCAATCCCATACCATGATACAACCTCATATTACCACAGAACCTGTAAGATACGACTGAAGATGTCAGAAAACAGTTCCTCAAACTCGGCCTTCATGTTTTCACACAAAGCCGTTCGTCGTGTTTGTTATCCCTACTGTTTCTCATAACATACCAAAGTCTGGGCAAGACTCAACAAGCCGACTGTGTCGAAGGAAAATCTCTTCTGTTGAGCCTCTTTGTTGATGTCGCCTTCAGAACAACATCGACTGATCCCGGTCTAACCTGAAAACACACAACAGCCATAATTGCAGTCGCTTCTAAAAGGATTTTCCCTTCAACTATTTTACACAACATGAAAGAAACGAAGCAAATGATTGTGGAGTCGGGAATAAAAGCAAACAAAGTTTATTTTCACTAAAGGTTTAAGCAGCTCAGCCTCAGTTTTGCTACAGATTTTTAGTTCTGGCTGGACTTTGACTAGACCATTCTAACCCATGAATCTGCTTTTATCTAAACCATCCCATAATATCTCTAGCTGTTTATTCTGTTGCTGATTAACCTGGACTGAGCTCCATTTATCTCCCATCAACTCTGACCAGCTTCCCCGTCCCTGCTGAGGAAAAACACTCCCCCAGCATGACACTGCCACTACCATGTACACCAAATCGATATGTTTAGTGAAACACGCAGTGTTAGTTTGTACCCACATATAGGCCAAAGCATTCAACTCTATGAGCCTCTATTTTGGGGGTATCAAATGAAAGGGGCAGAATATATGCACGCCACACTTTTCAGATTTTCATTCATGACAATAACTGAAAACTGTGCATCGCTTTCCTTCCACTTCACATTTATACAATACTTAAAATCACAGAAACTTGAAGTCTGCGGTTGTAAAATAACTAGATGCAAAAAAGTTCAAGAGGTATGAATATTTTTATGGGTTTAAACAGCTCTACTAAAGAAGGGAATCATTTAATGTAGCTAAAAGCATTAAGCTACTTACATGCTTATGATGTATTTTAAACAGATCAAGTGATTTTAAATTTTATCAATTCATTCACATCTTAAAATGTAGAGATGCTGCAGTCCAGCTGTTAAATGATTCCAGGTTTCTGGTGGGTCAAAGGTCACATATTTTACTCTAGAAACACAAAATATGATTAAACTGTCTAAATTACAACCAAATTATAACCAAATGCTCATTTTAAGTGGTGAGTAATGTAAGAAATAGTGACAAATATGGAAATTAAGATTTCTAGCTATGATTTCTTCTTCTAACCAAAGTAAGTTACAATTTGATGGTCAAAATGAGAAACGTAGCAAAATTGTAAGAATGTTAAAACAACTTTTCTCCAAGGATCTAATTAGCTTCCTCCAGCTCATATCAGTCACGTTCAGCTGCTTCAAGGAAGCCCAACGATCCCGATTATGAGCCATTCACCTGATCACAGACTGAAAACACATCAGCCTAAAATATTCCTAAGCAATAAAACTTCTCAGTGCTCATACAGGTCATGCAGCGTTCTTAAGCCTCATTAATGGGGATTAAATGAACGTAAAACACAGACATACGTGTGGCTGTGCTGTGAGCAGCGACTTGTAAATGTAAATGAGACAAACAGCAACGTTCAGATGTACCTGCTGAAATTTGAGTCAGAATGACGTTTTACCAGCAGGTCGTCCCGATTATTTAGTTTATTATGTTCAGTGTTGATGTTAGGCAGGTTTAAACAGCAACAGAGGAGTCATGACTTACAGCAAGTCCAAGTTTGAATTTATTATAAAAATACAGAAACAAAATAATTTTAAAATATGTTTACCTGGACGTTTTTGTAAATTGTTTTAAATCAAACATAAAGCAGAGTAATTAGTTACTGTGAGTGAATCTTTCTCTGCCTTTTTGTTTCAGTGATAATATTCACTAAATATATTAAGTTGAGTGTTTAGTCTGGATAAATAAGTTATTAAAAAACTCTTGTGTCGTCAAAACAAGAAGATCATGAGCATCATGAGAAAAACACACGAGATGCAGGAAATAGAACATTTACCGCCATCTAGTGGTTATTGGTGTAACAGCATCTTCATAAAGGAGTCGAGAATAAATCTATAATCTGAAGAATTAAAATTGAAAATATTTTTTTATAAGCACACCGTACAGAAGGAGGAATGTAGGCACAAGGAAACATTTTTATATTTTTAATCAGTAATTCACAATTTAACAAATCTAGAAAAGAAAACAAAAATTAAAGGAAAGACCTGATTTCTACCTGCATTTATGGATATCAAGACATACAAAGTTTTCAATTAACTTTTTCTGAAACCAATCCTTTTTAAAAACATTTTAATTTTAAAAAATACACTTAAAAATTACATTTTGATGACTTTAATCATTTCCCCATGATAGTGCAAATAATTTTAACCCAAAAATTAAAGACCAAAAATATTTCTGTTTTTTGTTGCATCTATATTTTGGAGATTTTAGGGTCTAATCATTTTTAAATACATAACATAAAGCTATTTTTGTAATATATTTGTGAAAGACAGAATGTCTCTCAGGATTAGAGACTCTTTGAACTATTTTCATTAATATTTTTGCATTTTCATAATAATTGCAATCCAAATAAAGTTTAATAAAGCAGCAGTTCTCTGAAGCTTGATGGTGTTTGAGAGGGACAGGGCACCCTTTGTCCCCCTTTTGGTTTCTCCCTGGTTTTACCAGATTAGTTAGATTTAGGCTCCAGGACTGGTCATGTGACCATCTTTAACCAATGGCTGCTGGATCACAACATCTTTGACATCCTGCAGAAACACAACAGAGTAGATTTTAATAATCAGAACAAATTTTCCATCAGAGTGACTTTATTTAACAGTTAAACAACTTTAAGCAGCAGTTCCTTTTGTAATGGACTTGTGAGTTTTGTTCATACTTTCCTCCTGTAGTAGAAAGCCTTGTTGCCCAGGACTGCGAGGCTGATGCAGACACAGAGCTGGAGGACCGACATGACAATCATGGTGATGTCCACGCCTCTCAGCAGTTTCTGAAACACCAGACAAAGAAAAACAGAATGAAAAGAAATGCCTTCTGACAGAAAACAACCAAAAATATATAGTTCAGGTTTCAGTATTCGGTCTTCTTGAGCTCCAACCTGCAGTCAGCTACACCTGAAATAAAGTTCAGCTGCGCTCAAAGGATTCTCCCAACATTTGCTCGCTTGCTGTGGTGCTTCAACAGAAAATTTACTGTCAGAAGTTGCGTTCCCATTAATGTTCACAAACGTAATCAATATCCCGCTAATGTTGGGGGAAAAAAAACACAAAAACATAAAAACAAAACACAATTTCATAATTTCAGTGTTTCATTAAACAAGAAACACAATACCGCGCCATGATCCTCCAACTACTTCCTGTCATCTTCTTCTTCGTGGTTGGTGCCAGCAGTTAACATCCTGTTGAATCGCAGTTATTGACCAGTGAAAGAAAACTTACCTAATCGTGGTTATTACGGTTATTCTTGTCTGACTTTGTCCTTTCCTCTCTGTAATCTGTAGTTCTATTTTCATGGTGTGTTTTGTGTAATGACAATCAAACATTGATTAATTTGTTCAGAGATGATGAAACACTAACATCATCAGCTGCTCCAGTCAAATCAGCGCATTTAAAGGTAGAAAAAGATCGATGTGTTGAATACCTGAGCTAAATTAGCCAAGAATATGCAGTTTTTGGAGTTTGTTTCATCCAGGATCCCACACATCCCAATGACAGTGAAGCTGGCCAAATGTACTGCATACAGCACAATGGCCACAATGGAGAGGATGGATCCGGCTATGTTGAGAAAGACGGAAAAGCCCGTCTGAAAGCAGAAATATGATTATTATTCACAACAGCGACCTCTACAGTTGAAAACAGTACTGTTCTTTACTCACCAGGCAGCGGAGAGGAAATCTGTCTGCAAGAAGAGACAAAACTCCGGCTGCCATGAACTGAAAGAAAAACAGCAATAAGATCAATTATTTCAGTTTTTCATATATAAAGAGTAAAACAAAATTACGGCCATGTCAGGAAATTCTTTACAAGATTTTTGTTCATTTCTTATTTTCAGTGTGATTTTAAAACACATTTGGTCAGAATATACCTGGCGCACATTCACTGTTATGCTTCTAATTAGTGCAGAAGAAGTGGAAATGTCTCTGTTAAAGTACTTCAGTATGAGGAGGAAAACCATGTTAACCATAAAAATGAAAACTTTGCTCATGTTTCCCATATTCAAATTCTGACTGATTTGAAGGAATCTTCACATATAAAAAGATCCCACACAAATAAAAGAAGAGGATGAAGTTTAAAGGGATGTGTTTTTACTTACAGGAACTCCCAGCCAGTAAGGAAACGTTTCTACACGTTCTGGTCCGAGTCCAACGTTGAACACGCCGACCATGATCTGCACAGTCTGCGAAACGTTTAAAACGTTTTTCTTTACGGTGTTACTCTTCAGAAACTCATTCTTTAAAGGCTTTAAGTTCCTCTCACCCCGAGAGCTCTGACCACGCTGCTCCCTTTGGTTGCTGACCGCCATGATGGACCGCAGGAAAGAGCCCTGACGATCTGACGCCATTGTGCTAACATGCTCCGATTGTCCGTTGCTATGGTAACAACAGTCACTCCGGTGTCTGCATCCACTGAGACGGACATCTTTACAACCTTTAGGCAAAGGAAACGTAGATATTCAAAATGATATTCATTCCCCAGAGAAACGATGCAGGGATGCAAACTGAAGCATCGTATATTAATACTGGAGATGATGGTGCAAAGAAGGATTTTACATAAAATCTAAGAAATTATGAGTGAAGAGCATCAGAGTGGCTCATCAACAACAAACTGTCTTCAGTCAGAGGCATCTTCAAAGCCACTGCAATACAGGCTGCTACAGAAGAGCCTTCAATCACGCTAAAGAAAATGTAGTTTCTCTTCGGGATCAATAAAGTATTTTTGGATTTGAATTTTTGAATTGAATTGATCATTTCAGACGTTCGAACAAAAGAAAAACAAAACAACGTGTAAATTTAACACCCTATTACATACCACAGACACAAAAACACTTATTTGGTGACTACATCTGAAAAGGGATATTAAGAAGTTGAACTTTAATATTTCACTTTATAATAAAAAATAAAATTATTTTCATAAAAGCTATTTTAATGCTGTGAACTCACCTGCTGAGAAGCTTCAGTCTGACTCCAACAGTTTTCTGGCTCAGGCAACAGAAACAAAACATTCACTTCCTGTTAATCCTTCAAATTAAAAGCATACTTCCACACATAGACAGAATCCCCTGTATTCTGTCTGTTCATAAGTGCGGAACAATAAATTAAATTTGAATTTTCAGAACTTTCTTCAGTCATCTGGGTTGATGTTAGTAGAGAATTGAATTATTTATGATATTAAACTGACTGAAGCTGAAAGCCTGCAGCAGATCTGCTGTTACTGGATCAAAGTTTGATGCTCTAATTTGCTAACTTTCCTCTGACTGTGGAGGAGTTTGATATTTACACAGGACAATGAGTTGATGCAGGAATGTCTTAAAGTCAGGAAGGTAAACACTGATATCGTATCAAATCCAAATATGCAGCTGCTTTTATTCAATAATGCAGAAAAAACTGAGTGAGTTCTGGGTCATAACTCCAAATTATGACTAATAATGTTTTCTTTCACGGGCCTTAAAACTACCAAGATGTTCCTGTATCAAACATATTCCAGATTATTTGCTTTCATATGTTTATATCAGATATTTTAAAACATTTTTAAGGATTTCCTGCATTCTGAAACTGTGATTCTCCTGTCCTGATACTGTCCCACTACCGCCACCTTGTGGGAAGAAGTGTTATGTCCAACGGAAGATTAACTGACTTCCGTTCATGTTGGAACAATGAACAACTAGTTTATGACACCAAAAGCTAAAAATAAATAAAAAAAACATAAATGTATATTATAATAATATAACATTATTCCTAAAGAAATACCTCATACACTAATCTGAGTTTAGTCATTTTATTTCCTCTTTTCTGACTTTGAGTCTGAACAGAACTTTGTAAACAACTAAGCTATAGAAACATTTGATACACTTAATTAATGCTCCCCCTGGTTTCTGTTAATTTGTGTAAATGCATAATAATGAAGTTTTGGAGAAACTTCATTATTATGCATTATTCATTATTAATGGAACCGTTATTATCTGTGACTCTCCTCAAATCATAAACTATTTTTATAATTACAGTGAAATATAAAATAAAACAAACAAAAAGATCAGCACATGCGCAAATGATATGACTTTTTTTCTTTCTTCCCGTTCCCTTTTTTTTTTAATTTTTTTTTTATTTGTGCGCTTCCGGGACAGATCGCTCTGTGACGCACGTAACTGAATTTGAGGTTTTGTTTTTCAGAGTTTGCTTCGGGATCTAACAGGTAAGTTGTTTTACTGAAATCCCTAAAGTTACAGCGGAAATGAAAAGAAGACCCAGAAACAAAAGTTCTGCTGAAGTGAACCGGGTCTGACTGTAGTTTCTGTTGTTAGACGAAGTAAAACGAAGAGTGGGGGATTTGAGGACAGAGTTAAAACTGGAACTGATCGTCAACTGTTTTACTGAAAGAAGGCATTTTAATTAGGTCACTTAAATTTATTTACTTCAAAACTGATGTAAATTTAAAAGAACATAAAACAGGCAACCGCTATTTTGAGTAATTTATTTATTCATTTTATTTTTCAGACAGAAGCTATTTTCTCCGACTTCCTTTTAATTCAACTGCAATTTAATCCACATAGCCTGATTGTTCCAGTGTTTGTGTTTAGGATGGCCCAGTCAAAGTCCAGGCCTGAACTTGGTTTTCACAGAATCAGAGTCAGGATTTAATTTTGGATTTAATTGAAACACCAGCAGCTCAAACCCAGAGTATTGACTTTGAATTATATTAATGAAATATTTTTAGAACCAGGTTTTGTTTTTTCTTTTTCAGCTCATTGTTGGCCTACTTTGTGTTCTTCTGTCCTAAAAAACTACAAATAAAATCAGAATTAACAGCAGAATCACACCAGTGTGAAAGTCCAACAGCTACAAATACCTTTGATGCATCTTATTTCATTTAACTTGTTAAAATAAGTAATAACACACATTTGAAATGTCTGTGTCAACTTTCAGGACCAGGAAGGATGTCTGTGACCATGAGCAGGACCGACGGGGTCACCATGTTCACTCTGACCTCTGACCCTAACAGCCGCTGGCCTCCGCTGTGCCAGATCCTGAAGAGCCTTTGCTACAGCCCGGTGTGCTGCTCCGTGTCCCAGCAGCTGAGGACGGTCCTGAAGACGTCTCTGTCCGTCCTCGGGGTGAGCTGCAGACTTCTCTCTTCATTTTAATGAAAACTTAAACTGCTGTTACTCTAATTAGACGTGTTTTCTATGAGTTTACTGTTTGTTGCATCTTTATCGAAGCTCTTTCATTTGATTGTAAAAGATAATGTTGAAGCATGAATGTCAAGTTTGACCTCAGGTGTCTGCTTCTCGATTCCCTTTGCAGGCCATCCACATGATGATCGGGCTGCTTAACATTGGCCTTGGCGTCCTCGTCCACCTGTCATACGTTTCTTCTTACATATTTTACTCCTTCGGTTATTGTCCCTACTGGATGGGATCTCTGGTGAGCAAACTGCTGGGTTACAGATTGTCAGCATTAATTGTCGGGGCCTTAAAGGGGCAGTATTATATATTTTACAGTCGGATAGTTCCATTTTATAGCATAATCAAGTAACTATGTTACCATCAGCTGTTGTAATAATGCTGTATGCCACTTTATTAAGTACACCTGTTCAAATACTCATTAATGCAAACATAACTCAAAATAAATTTGACTTTGCAATTTGTCACTTTGAAATGGGCCTCTGTCTCTTTAAGAAGCTCCAACTTTTTCCGACACATTAAATAACATGTAAATTATAATCTCAAATTTAAATTGGCGATTGACGGTTGTAGTATTTCAAAGCCAGATATAAATTGAATTGAAGTTAGCATTTTAGCTTCTGGTAAACACCATGCTGGTTTAGTGCTTTATTGTTACCATAACCAATTTACAGTAAGCAGTGGCCTCCACTGGTTGTGTGTGTAAAGGGGATGTAAACAGAGCAACCCATGGTTACATGGAGCCATTTATTCGCTTTTATGAAACTACTGTTTTGAGTTTTAAAAACAGAATATTTACATTTGTTTCCCTTTTTTTGCAGTTCATTATGTTTGGCATCATGTGCATTTTATCTGAGAAGTATCCAAGTCCATGTCTGGTGAGTGATTCTAACTTTCTGGTGTTCCCTCAGGATCATCAGCATTTATTCTTAGATCTTTTTCAATATTAATCAAATTATTGGTCATGTTTGTACATGTAGTTATTCTTCTTGTATTTCAGATCATCCTCAGTGTGTTTGTCAACCTGGTTGGTGGTGCTCTTTCCCTTACTGCCATCGTGTTCTACAGTATATTGGAGGGAGATATGTATGTGTGGGTTTCCTGTAATGACGAGCCCCACTACAGCTACTACCCTTACAGACGCACCACGCCAAGTCCATCACCTGATGCTGCTTACTTTAAGGAGAAGTGCTTGGAAGGCAAAGCAGTGATGGAGGTAAGACAGAAATATCCCACCAGCAGTCAAATATATGATTACTCTATATTTGTTATCATTATGATGAATTTAGAGATGATTCCATCTTTGAAGATTTGTGGACGTTTGTTTTTAAGCTGAACATTTTCAGGTTTATGACTGTCGGGTTATTTATGGCCTTGTTGACGTGGAGCTGCTCCTCAATTTAATTGTAACATTTCTGTTGTGATCCAGCACTTTGGAGACGGGTAACTGTTTACGATGAAGAGGAAGCTAAGGGTCAAAACCGCAGGCGTGTTCAGCGCCACCTTTTGGCCTGGCATGACAACTACAGCTGACTCGTGGTGTCTTGGTGGCGCCGTCTAAACATGGAACGTTTCCCCAATCATCACCAGAAAATTTCTAGGCAGCAGTCTGGTGTAAATGTAGACTCTGTGAAGAAAAAGATAGTTGTTATGTGTGATTTAGTGACATCTGCAGATGTAAATACCAAGTTCCCACAAGTCTGAACCAGAAATGATCCGAGCCACTGAACCGCCATCTTGGTAGGCAAGTGCAGCGCAAAGCGTAGATGAATCATGGCTTCTAGACCAACAAAAAGACAGTGGAGTACTCAAAAATTGTTAATGAACTTATATTGTCTATGAATTAGATAGTAACAAGGCGAGAGCTAGTTCTAAGCTTGTGGCATGTTTATTGTTGTCATAGCAACTCTTGTGACGGATACCTTCCAAGATGGCTGCCGGCTACGAAGTTCCCAGAACTGTGACATCACATGAGAACATCACATTGAAACCAACTATTAATTGATTGTGTGGCCACATGTTGAAAAATGATTTCAAAGTCTTGATTCAAATCAGCTCTTTGAGTTGTTTTTGTTTTGTTTGTTTAACAGCAACACAGATGTAAGATAATCAGCATCATTTTATAAATAAAGTAAATGATTTACGGAGGATGTTCTAAATCCATTAGAAAAATGTTTTATGGAGTTGTTTGTGTTCTGCAGATGCTTCTGAGGGGCATCACTGGGGTCCTGATCGTCCTGTCGGTGGTGGAGCTCTGCGTCGCCATCAGCTGCGCCGTGTTGGGGATCAAAGCTCTGAATTCCACCAGCAACAAACCAAACAAGGTGAGCCGTTTGGGTCCAAAGAGTCGGGCTCAACCAGTTCATACGCTTCTGGCTTAAATCTTTAATTTAGTGTTACTTTTGAAAAATTCTAAATTATCAATCAATTCAGAAGATGATTATGTAATGGTGGATACTCACCGGCCACTTTATTAAGTACACCTGTTCAACTGCTCATTAATGCAAATGTCGAATCAGCCAATCACATGGCAGCAACTCGATGCACTTAGGCATGTAGACATGGCCAAGACGATCTGCTGCAGTTCAAACCGAGCATCAGAAAGGGGAAGAAAGGAGATTTAGGAGACACAGCAGCAGAAGACCGCACCTGGTGCCACTGCTGTCAGATAAAAACAGGAAACTGAGGCTAATTCGCACAGGTTCACCAAAATGGACAATAGAAGATGAGGTCTGATGAGTCTGGATTTCTGCTGCGACATTCGGATGGTGGGGTCAGAATTTAGCATCGATAAAATGAAGCATGGATCCGTCCTGCCTGGTTGATACCAGGCAGGACGGTTGATACAGGTCGTCTGTAATGTTTGGGTGGTGGTGGTGGTGTAATGGTGGGGGGATAATTTCCTGGCACACTTGGGCCCATTGGTACCAACTGAGCATGGTGTCAATGCCACAGCCTACTTGAGTATTGTTGCTGACCACGTCCATCCCTTTATGACCACATTGGACCATCTTCTGATGGATACTTCCAGCAGATAACACACCATGTCATAAAGCACAAATCATCTCAGACTGGTTTCTTGAACAATGAGTTCACTGAACTCCAATGGCCTCCACAGTCACCAGATCTCAATCCAATAGAAAACCTTTGGCTTGTGGTGGAACCGGAGATTCACATCATGAATGTGCAGCTGACAAAAACCCAACAACTGGGTGATACTATCATGTCAATATGGACCAGACTCTGAGGAATGCTTCCAGTACCTGCTGATTCTATGCCATGAAGGATGAAGGCAGTTCTGAAGGCAAAAGGGAGTCCAACCCGGTACTAGCAAGGTGTACCTAATAAAGTGGCCAGTGTGTATGCACACCAGCAAAATCTTTAGTACAGGACCTGTACTGCAGGCCTTTTCAGTTGGGCCTGCAAAGAGGAAGCAGAAAGACTTCCAGTTCGTAGGTTGGTTTAGGTTCTGAAGCTGCTGGATTTTTCTCGCCACTCAACCAAAAGGTTCTGAACAATGGATCGGAAGAAACGGACTCAGAAAAATCTGTTTCGCCTGAGTCACTGATCCATTCAGATAAATCTTTGGTGATCCAAACATCGCCTAGGTGGTCTGACATTTTATTTATCAAGGAATTGTTGTGGATTTTTTCTCTCCGTCTCTTCCCCACTTCTGCCCAAAATGTCTGTGTTACCTGAGATTAATTAAATATGAGAGAAAATTAAAAAATAAGAATAAAAATCAGAAAATAATTGCCAAGAATAAAAGAAAAATAAGTATTGTAACCCACATTGAGCAATTTCATTGTTGTGACACATCTCTGTTATGTTCTGTGTTTTGTCCATTTTAATGATCCTGCACCGTTTTTATTTTTTTCCTTTCCCATTGTTGAGTGTTTTCTTATCTAATTGGTCATTTTGTAAATGAATACTTACGTTTGCTCGTCTGTAATGTGTGTTTTTTATTCCCTAATTTGTGAATAAAAATAAAACAAGGAAAAAAAGATCCAGGTCTGAACAGAGGCGATGGCCTCAGGTTAACTTTACTAACAGACGTTATTTACCCCTCGGGGAATTTTATATATCCAGTCTCCCATAAAACAATAGAAAGGACCTGTTCTACAGGCTGGGCTCGTTTCAGGTGGTTTTATAGCAACTCGTGTTGAAACATGACCAAAATGGCTGATGTGGCAACAAGTTGAACTGAACAGAGGGCAGGGCAGGAGACTTTTGGATGAGTTGTGAGACATTTTCAAGAAGCAAGAAAAGAAATCCTGTTGCCTTTTATTCACACTCTTTGGATTGTTGAGAACCTTTCATATTCAGCTACAGTGACGATGAAAAAAGGCAGCAGGTTGCTTAAGGTGCAAATCCAAATATTTGTACAGAGGAACGTCGGGTAAAGTCCAAATCCAGCCTGTAGCGTTCAACCTGCGTTCAACCAGCCCAGACGCCACCAGGCCTCCGTAGAACAAGTGGCACATTGGATTGTTTCTACAAAACAACTCCAGGGTTTAGAAAATATGTTCACATTTATTCTCACTGAGGTTCCGATGCATTTAATTCGTCTGTTGCTTATCATTTACTGACAAATCAGACCAAATGTCCTGACGGTTCATTATTGGGATATATTAAAACATATCGATGGAAACGATATTGTCCTAATGTTGCAGCTTTCGTTGGTCTCTGCTGAATACAGAAAATAAAACATACATTTTGTTTTCTTTTGAATAAAATACACCAAACTATGATTGTTGAGCATAACCTCATTGTTTTCTGTTCACACTTTTAATCCAGGTCTTATTGACTTTATACTCCAAAGGAATCAGATTAACTTTGTCTGTTTAAAATCTCAAACTTTTGCACAAATGAGAAGGTTCCCAAAAAGGCTGAATTACAGACATTTTCTTCTCTAAGCAGTGATTTCTCAAAACCAGTGAATCATCTTGTGTTTTATGTTTCACTTCATGTTTTTACTCAACGTGTTTCTTTCCTCCTGCAGACCTCTGATGAGCCGGAGTATTACAAGCCGCTGCTGGAGGAAGTCACCACCAATCCTGCAGTCTGAACATTTTCCACTTCCCGTAAAGATTAATCCTGCTCTTTCATCCCACTGACAGGGTTAATATCTACATTAATCATTCACTTATAAGCAGCTTATCAGGTTTTTTAAATACAAATCATGCTTTTTCTATTGTCTCCTGCACTTTTGTATTAAATATCAAATCATTTTACTTTGATTTTCTTGATCATTAAGATGTTTATTTTGTTGTTTTTTTGTATTCTGAAATCAGCAAATATTCAATCATGTGCATGTGATTTTTTGTTTGTTTCCACCACTAAATCATATAAAATTAATGCATGAAAACGATAATTTGCTGCATGTTTTCATATTTTACATCAAGTCTTAAGTTCCATTATGAGGAGATTTTTTTCTCTCCTTACTTGTTGTTTAAAAAGCGGTCAGTAAATATTTGACAGTCGTATCTGTCAGGGAAATGAGTCTTGGGTTAATTCAAGGAAATGAAGTCAAAAATGAAAGCGAACCATTTTTCTTTAACGTTTCTGGAAATGATTTTAAACCCTCTTTATGGACGTGTGGAAGGCGTCAGAACAGATTGTTGCAGTTATCAGTTACCTGCAGCTCTACAGGTTGGTTTGGTATTACTTCCTTTTCCCTAACTTATCAAACCAATCTGAGCTTCTTTTGGTGAGTTTTATTCCAGAAGATTTATTTAAATCATCCAGAGATCCTGGTGGGTTCAGATGGTTTCTTACTTTCCCTCTCAAAACAATTTAAAGTCTTGTTTAAAGTCTTATTCCTTACATCTGGTCATTTTGCAAACTCAAACATCATTTGTTACATTGAAACTTTATGTATTGGATTAATAGATAGATATAGATTTTACCTTTTTATACTTATTACAATGATTACTTTACCCATCATAATACACGTTAAATGAATTTCTGTTTTTAATAAATTTGTAAAAATTTCAAAACCATGTTTCCAAATTGTTGTAATGAAGTATTTGAATTGTGAGAATAGAGATAAATACTATTTTAAATCAGGCTGAAACATAAAAAGTAAAAGTGGACACTTCCTGGATGTTTTCTGACTCGTTACCTGTGTTCTCTCTGCGTTTCTCCTTCCTGTAAGTAAAAGATTTGAAACGTGAATATTTGTCTCTTCTGAATTCTTTCTTGCTGTTTTATTTTCAGATTTTTTTCAAACAATGAGATCGATCATCTTCTCATTTCCCATTAGCTATATAGAAAATACCAGTGCGATGAGATTCCCTCAGAAATGTAATCTTTAATCCATTGGTTCTGTTTCTAATGCAACAAAGACACAAAATGAATTATTAAATATTAATAAAAGCCTGATAAAATTAATAATTTAGATCAATTTACAAAGTCAGGGCACCACCCGATTTTCAGGAAATATTAGCCAAATTATGAGATTATTGTTTAGAAAAATACCTGCCTGATGCACTGCAAAAACATCAAATCTAACCAAGTATTTTTGGTAGTTTCTTGTTCAAATATCTTGAATTAAAAGAAAACTAACTCATAAGCAATCTTTCAACAAGATATAGAAGCTTGTTTTAAGTCAATAATTTCTTAATACAGATGAAAAAGTACTGGTTATATTGACAAATTATTTCACTTATGGGAAAATGTCTTGTTATAAGTGACTTTATCAATAGAAGTAGTATTTTTTCATCAATATGAAAGATTTATTGATTTAAAATAAATTCTTATATCTTCCTTAAAAGTTACTTGTAAGTTTCTTTTGTCTTGTTTCAAGTGAGCAAAGAAACTAGACCAAAATTGTTGAAGAAATGTTGTGTTTTTTCAGTGTAAGGTTTAGGTTTTAAAAGTCCAAAACTGACGTTCTTTACCATCAAAACGTTACGCATGTCTGGAATAAACACAACAACTTCTCTCCAATAAGGGAGAATTTACAAACAAAATAAATTCAGCCTTACAGTTAAATACTCACTAAGCTAGCAACACTCAACTAAACTACTGGAAAAAAGGGGAAAACACGATGAAAACTAAGCTAAAATAAAATATAAAAGTCAGAATAGAACCAATAAAATGAAACAATGATGTCACAGTTCATCAGTTTGGTGTCGGTGAAGCTGAGCTTCTTTTCTGGCTCTGGACGCTAACCTGAGAAAATGTCACTTTTGGGGAACCTATAATTCAAAGTTTCCTTCTGCAGAGTTACGAATAAGAAAATCTGAATTTTTGTCCCTTTGACAGGAAACAGAGTGACTAGATGCACAAAACATAAACTATGTGGTTCAGTTCTTCATGGCTGGAAGCAAATATTAAAGATCAAAGCCAATAAAAGGATTTCCTAATAAATATGAACACCAGCTCTCTTTTATAACCTCTACACCATTAAAACCTAAAGGTTCAATTTTTGGATTTTACAAAATCCAAAAAGAACATTTCCTCTACAAACACAGTTTCTATAGTTGCAGCCTGTAGCTTTAACTATTTTTAGGCCCTGATTCTTTACCTTGCATTTTGAACGTAAGGCTCCAGCTTAGAGGTTCAGTATCCAACAAGTGCAACCATAAACTTCGACATGTAATGAGATTTAATGTGCATTCTGACTAAAAATGCAAAAAGACAAAGACACAAAGCTTTATTTCCTCACCAGAGGAAACCCAAACACTATGGGTGTTATAGCCAGGGACTTTCAAGATCACAGCATGTTTCTTAATTTCTGTTTAAACAATTGGATCATTTATTATAAAAACAAATGCACCACAAAATTAATGACTGACTTGGGAAATTTTGAAAAACTTCCCCTAACTTAAGTTTTGTATTCATTAACTATGACTTTGGTACAAACTCTGACAAGGAAGCAGATTAGAAGTGAAGTTTGATGTTGACTTTCAGAATGAATTAGTCACCAATTTTAAATTTCATAACTGTTTTTCATACATGGTTTCTATTAAGAATATAATTTTCCCCTTTTGCTTTATTAAACATCAGGTAAATATTATGTCTGTCATGTGACCAGTACCACTTTCACCCCACCCATTCACCCACCAGTTTGAATATATTTCCTGTTCTTCCACCCCACTCTGCTGTCTGTTCAGCTCCCAGCCTCTGGAAAGATGTCTGTGACTGTGAGCAAAGCCGATGGAGCCACTGTCCTCACGGTGGTCTCTGACCCAAACGGTCACTTGCCTCCTCTGTGTCAGATCCTGAAGGCCCTTTGCCACAGCCTGGCGGGCTGTTCGGTGCCCCCACACCTGAAACGGGTTCGGAGAGCCTCCCTGTTGGTACTTGGGGTGAGCAAGAAACTGTTGTTCTTCCAAAATGCTTTGTTCACTCCTGAATTAATTGTTTTTATTTTACTGAAATTGATTTTTCAGTTTGTTTTTTCTGTCTCCGTGTGTTTTTGGAACTGATGAAGACTTAGGATGGTGGTCTTTGAGGTGTTTCTGTTTGAGGTGCTGCAGGATGCAGCTATCCTGTCTTTGAATAACCAAAGCAACAGCTGATCTGTGTTCCCTGCACAAAGTTAGACTCATTCCTGAGTGGATTGGACTTTGTTGTCAGGGCTGCCACTCGTCACCTGTTTGGGTTGGACTTGATCTCCAGGTGCAGCTATGGAGGGATAGTGCCTGACTTCCTCTTGGGTTCATCTTTGTTTCTTGCAGATGATTTTGTTCTGTTGGTGTCCCCAGGTCATGACCTGCAGAATGCATTTGGGTGGTTAGCAGAGTCAGAGTGACAGTCCAAAAGCTCCCACATCCTCAATCGCCCTTCACTCCACGTTGGTCCACACGTACTTGTGGCAGATTCAATGTGGACTCAAAGCGGACGGCCATCTGCCAGACACGTCCCCACCAAGGTCAATCTTTTTAATAAACGTTGAGAGTCTGCATCATCTGGACAAAATGGAGCCAAATTTTCGAGATTTCTTTTGGAAGAGATTGGAAAACAGAGAGACTTTCAGGGTAAATACGTGGGAAGAAATAGCGCTAGAATGCAAGAAACTGAAATGAGCAGACGCACCATCCACACCATGCAGTTCGTCCCAGTCTGTGAGAGCCTTCAGTTCGTCTGAGTGCTGGGTCAAGGTTCGCAGCTGGAAAATGGTGGACTGTTCTTTCCAGGAAGCCGTTCGGTCTGGACCTCAGAGTTTAGGTGTGTTGGCATCTTCTTCATGAGTAAAGGTGGGATGGAGTAGAGTGTGTTTGACAGATTTGTCCTCATCTGTGGTTTGTTTTGATCTGCTGTGGAGAGGAGAGGTGAACCAAAAACAAACTTATTTATTTAGCAGTCTGTCAATTTTAGAACTCAGCTACTGTCATGAGCTATTGCTCATCGCATGGGAGCGTGGAGTAAAGACCAGGGGTCTGCAGCGTTTGTTCTGGTATCAGATCTCTGATCCTCCTTGTAGAGGTTTTCCAGGCACATCCCAATAGAAAGGGGCTCTGGGGCCGACCCAGATTACGTTGGGGGGTTATATGTCCCGTCCTGCCTGTGAGTGTCTCCCAGGATTAGCTCGAGATGATGTGATGCAGATCTTAATCTTTAATATCGTCTATCATTTTCCTGTGTTTTCTCTTTCACAGACTTTGCACATCATGATTGGGCTGCTCAGTTTTAGCCTGGGAATCATCCTCCATTTCAGGTGGGCACAGCATCCAAACGCTGTACAGTAAGAGCATTACTTCTTCAACTTGTCTTCACTCAAGTAAAAGTAAAATGTACATTAGCTACTCCCCGAAGCACATTTTTCAATGTAAATGTAACTAATTACTCCCTGTCTCTGACAGTGAATCCTGCTGTGGGCTAATAGACGTCACCAGCTTCCCTTATTGGTCGGGAATTCTGGTGAGCAATTAAAGACCGTCACCATAGCAACAAATGGGAACAGCAATAATTTATCTTTTGTTTTCTTTCACAGTTTGTCATATTTGGCATCATTTGCATTCTGTGTGAGAAGAAGCCATGTCTGTATCTGGTGAGTGGGTCATTTTCAAAACTCTGAGAAAACGTTTGATCGGCTTCTTGTCCTGATTGATTCTTTCCTTTCAGATTCTTCCCAATGTGTTTCTGAACTTTGTTGGGATCTTTGGAGCCGCTGGAGCCATTTTCTTCTACATCATCAATATGACTGATCCTCATGGTGTCTGTGGAAGTGTTTATGGTTCATTTGGCAAAAATGAAAGCTCAGTCACGGTAAGAGTTAGAAATACACTGTAAAACACTTGAAGGTGCTTTAACTTGAAAATGAAAGTCAACCTGCTGCCTTAAAAATTCAATTTAAGTCAGCAGGAGACAAGTTGTCTAAACATTTTAAGTTCATTAATCTTGAATTGTGAGTTTTAACTTAATGCTGCAATTTAAACCAAATAATTATTTCAGGAGAAAAAAAAACTGCCCTCATCTAGTTAAGAGACACATTTCTCTATTATTTTACTCATAATATAAATACTTATTTTACTTTAGAATAGTTTAAATTCTACAAAAATTAATTCTGGAATACAATGAGTAAAATAACACAGAGTATTGATGATGTGTGAAGTTACTAACAAATGAAAAAAGGATAAAAGCTCAAAGTTGTTAAATGTGTCCACAGGTCCTTTCCGTAGGCGTCAACGGCGTGTTGGTCGGTCTGTCGGCCCTGGAGCTCTGCGTCGCCATCAGCGCTCTAGTTTCGGCAATAAAAGTCCTGAAAAGCTTCAAAAGAAACGAAAACCTGGTAAATTATCAAAATATATCTGGATATATTTATTTAATCACCGATACATCCTGACTGCATACAAGTTGTTTTATTTCTTTATGTCTTTGACTGTTTTATGTAAAATTTAGGTTTTAAAACTTTCTTTAAATCAGCAAATTTTCCCAGATATCCAAACAAAGTAACATTTTTAAAGAATACAATACCTTACAGAGATGTGCACAACTTTTTAAGATGTTAAAAAACTTTTTACAACTTTTTAAGATGCCTGGACATTTTTCTATTTACATCAATCAGTATCTGCATAATTTACTCTCACATCAAGTCTTTGTTTTGTAGCATTTAATTTTTATTTAAATCTTTTCTCATATTTGTAAAGCAGCTGAACTGCTGAGTTAAAATCTCTCCTGTTTAGAATTTATTTATTTTTTGTACCATAGTAATAAAACTCTAACCAACATTTTAAAGAAACGCAATGTTTTATTTGTTGATTTTTAATGTTTCTATGACATAAAGCACTTTGAACAACCTTGTTGCTGAAATGTGGCTTACAAATGAACCTGATTGATTGATTATTTTTTCCTGCAGAGCTCCAGTGAACCAGAACAGACGACCAACCCAGAAATCACAGAAGTTCCCTATGAAATTTGCATCATTTCTACGTGATCACAAAGCAGAAATGCATGATGTTCTGCACTAGTTGTTCCCATTGTTGTTATTTCAGCTAAAAATATTACTGATGTGTTAAATCAGAGATTATCCAACCCTGTTTCCTCCTGAATTGTGATCAGCTGACGTAAAAGTGAGAGACTGATCAGAAAGTCAGGTGGTAAACTGCTGAGCTTAAATCTCTGGGTTGTTTTTCCTGAAGCTGGATCTTCCTCTTTCACATCAGGAGTTCTGTTTCTGGTGAACCGAGCCAGAGGAAGCTCTGCTCAGAGTCTTCATCTGTGTTTTCTTTTCAAAATGACTAAGTCATATCTGATCTTTTGAAACGTTATTTAATGTGCAAGGCAGAAATGTACAAGAATATTTTGATTATAATGTTATGATACAAACTGGACCTGCTGAGTTCATGTTTGTTGTGAATTTCAGAACAAAAAGACACAGAATTTCGGTGTGTAATATTTTTAACTGTATGTAACGTTTAGCTGCTTTGTGTCAGAAATAATGCTTTTGGTGTCACTTTTTAAATATGCATGTGACCAATTTATAGTAACCTAACAGAAATGTGGGAGGAATCCAGAGAGAATCCACACATGGACTGAGAAAACACGCTGCAAGGCAACAACTCCAAAATATGTTCATACAATATCTCACACATGTCGAACTCGAGGCCCGGGGGCCACATCCGGCCTGCCGCAGCTCTTTATGTGGCCCCCTGGACTCCAAACTACATCAATACGTCCCTCCAGTTTCTCACAAATCTGCAAAATTCACACAAAATCTATAAATCTACACATTTTTTTCTGATTCTACTGCAAATTTATCTCAAAATTGGTCAAAAACACTGAGTTTAAGTGACTGCTGCCTGAGTTTTACTTGATGTCAAGTTACAGTCCATGATCGATACGGCGAGTAACAAAAAGTCACATTTAACATCTTACATTAGTGCAAATATCATACAAATTTCTTACATTTCCAAATTGACACAACAAAATCTATCAGTTTTATTGCAAAAAAAAAAAAAAACCCTGAAACAATCAGAAAACCCTGGAGGAACAGATATTTATTGATATTTTAACAGTTTAATTGGTTTTATCAATATATTCTGGCACAACCGGCCCTTTAAGGTCATTCAGATTTTGGCCCAAAATAAAAATGAGTTTGACGCCTCTGAAGTATCTGTTATCCCTCTGAATAAGTTTTAGCACCGATTATTCCTGTGAGCTCAGCTGCTGTGAAACTTACTATTTTAAATGTCTTCTGTTGTTATTTGTTTAATCTTAGGGTTTATTTGACATATAAGAACATGAAATACATATCAGATCTACTTAAACATCTCAGCTGGATTAAGATTCTCAATCTCTTCCACAACCTGGTTTTCCAGGTTCACAAAAAAATCTGTATCTTGGAGAAAAAAGTTTTAATTTCAGAGAATCAAATAGAAAGCTGTGATTTCTACTGATTTAACAGTTGTATTAGATTTATATTGTAAAGTCTGGATGTTTTTCTCCATCTCTGTCTTTTGGATGCTTTTCTGTTGTAAAATACAAATTTCTCCTTAATGCACACCTGGTTTAAGCCTATGAAGAAATAAAGGCACCAAACCTTAAATGTTTTAAATGTTGTTACTTTAAACAAACAGTTTTATCGCTGCAGTGAATGCATTTAGAGCAGCTGTGCTCGGATATTATCATGAGGAATTTTCCAAACACCAGCCCTCCTTTATTACGCAAGTAAAAGTAAAAAGTTTCCTTCAAAAATAAAGAAAACCCAGTTAATCCACATTCTCTTGACTCTTTTCTTTTTATCATTGAACTTTAGCATTTCTGTCCCTAAAACATTCACAAATCTAAATGTTTTCTTCCTGTAAAAGAAAGGCTAAGAAATCAGTTTAACTTTTCTCCCTTGAGAAAAGCCACAACTGTTTATTCATATGTTTGCATCTGATAGGCCTGTTTCTGCAGACCAGCGACTCAGTTCACTCTCTTTAGATTAAAACATTCCTTTGCAGAATCGTTTCCACCTCAGACTCCATCTGTGAGCCCAGCTCTCTGCTGATTTTAATCCAGAAGAAGAAGAAGCTGCTGTGGGAACATGTTTCCATCTCCGTGTCGGATCCTGAAGGCGCTCTGCTGCCACTGCCTGAAGAAGCTGGGAGTGCAGACCTGCTGGGCTGCAGCTGCCGGGGTGAGAGGAACCGGGGGGAAAGTCTCACCGTAATACAGGGATCATGGTTTTATTTCTGTTGCAGACTGTTCAGATCATGGTGGGTGTGCTTAATATCGGCCTCGGACCGGGAAGAACAAGCACTCGTCTGGGGGATTTCACCAGCCTGGGAGCTGCTTACTGGTTGGGCGCTGTGGTAAAAACACTTTATACTTTTCTTTCTTTCAAGGGGATGTACATAGCACATTATTTATTTAAAATCACTTGAGCTTAACTCTCTACCAAAATACTGTTAAAAACGTCTTTATATTCCAAAAATCAAGCCTTAATCAGCTCATGATGGCATAGTAGAGCCAATGTAGACAGGAGAAAAGAGGAGTAAATTACTGCCAAAAAAACACAGACATTTCTCAGGAGGAGCAAATTTACCCCAAAAAACATGTACATTCTGAGATTAATCTCAGAAATTTCTTTAAAAAATAAAAGTAAATTTCTGAGCTTGAAAGTTCAGAAATGAGCTAGAAAAAAAAAACTTTTAAGTTTAAACTGAATTTTCTAGAAACAAACTTTAAGAGCTCCAAAAGTAAAAAAAAAAAAAAAAAAAAAAGAAAAATGCTAGACAAAACTAAGAAATGTTGAAATTAATCTCAGAAAATGTATAGAAATTCATTCAGAGTTAAGCAGAGTTTAATGGTTGGACATGTTTGGCTTTGGAAACTTGAAAAATTTACAAACTCGGAAATTTTCTTGTTACTTTAGGAAATTTTTTAGATTAATCTCAAAATGTTAAAAAAAAATTAGGCGTAAATTTGCTCTTTCTTTTGGACGCCGTCGTTCGGGTTCATCAGGTTTTTCTGGGTTTCACGTTGTGTTTGTTTCTTGGTGCTGAAGTTCTGAATTTTGTTCTTGTCAGTTTGTCGTAACAGGAATCATGACTGTTTTAGCGGGTCGGTTCCCTTCCTCCTGCTTGGTGAGTCAAACTGTATATCTGTTGTATTCATGGTATTTTTTAAATAAACAGTTTATTGTTCTGAACCCTTAAAGTGATAGTTCCCAAAATAGTATACCGTAATATCTTGTACGCTACGACCATATGTACGGTAAAACATAGCTGCCAGTAATTAACTGTAATTTTTTTTTCAATAAAAAACTATAATGTACCTTGGAGTTCTCCCCATTCTTAAAATGATTAGTAAAGAATGGGCAGAAAGAATCAATCATTTGAATATCTCTCTCAGACCGCAACCCAACTTCCTCCATTACTATGTTATTATAATTATAGTCACAACCTTATTTACTCCAGATTGCAGTTTGTTGAATTTGAATTTGGAGAAAACAAATTGGGTTGAAATCTTTTTCCCAGGTGGGCTTCACTGTGTTCCTGAACATTGTTGGTGCGATCTTCTCCATCACTGGCATCGTGTTTTACGCTATCGACCTGAACAACTCCTCTCTGCTCTGGGTTTGTGACCGCTCTGGTTCTGATCCCGATCGCTATGACGACAGCTGCAGAAACATGGCTGCCTTCGATCAGGTGAGCAGGTCCAGGCTCTACAGGAGGCGTTTCTCCTCACAGCTCTGTGAGCGCAGCGGTTCAGCTCCATGTGCTTATGGAAAAGATCAGTTTTCTTTGTCTTTTCTCGTTTCTCCACCAGAACTTACTGACGTCTCTGGACAAAGTCTTGATTCTCCTGGCTGTTCTGCTGTTGGTTGTCAGTATTTCTTTTGCTGCTCTTGGCATCGGGTTCCTGACTGGTGAGATGAAGGAGGAAGAGGTAAAATATTGGGGCCCTATTATGCAAAATTCACATTTTGCATGTTTGTATGCTCCCATTTGAGTCTCAACTGCTTCTAAAAACAGCCTGAGCACTTAAAAAAAACACCCTGCCATTTTTTGGCAATAAGTTCAAATGTTTGCAGTTTCAAAAACCTTCGGAATGTAACACCACAAATAAGCAGGCAGTGCACCATTACCTAGCAACCTGAAAGCCCACACCGTTACCTAGCAACCCCAGCTGAGCTCCAGCGGTTTCGTCACCTGGCTTCACCACTGTATTTGCTGTACAATGGCTGCTGGAAAAGACAAATGTTTAGACGCTGACTTGCCATCCAGAAACCACTTGGTGTATTCTCGCTGGTTGTGCAGGAGGCTCCACTTCTGCTTTTCAAAGATGTAAAAACCATTTTACTGCTGAGCAGTTGGCTTCACATTTGAGTCTAGAATATTCTGGTGTGAAATATTTTCTCCTTGTGAATCATCATTCTCTTTGTAGAATGATTGTTTTTTGACTGATGCATTTTTAGCTGCCAAGTAAATGATTTGTTCTTCTGGACCATTTTTAAAAGATGGACTTCAAAGAAGTTGCATCTATTAATCAGTTGTGTTGTAAGATGTAAATCTCTAACTTTACCAGTTTAATTTGGAATATTTCTGTGTCAGCAGGTTGACAGCTTTTCTAAAGAAGACTTGAAGGAAATCCTTCTCATCAGTCCTGGGGCTTGAAACCATCGATACTTCAGCAGGCGGCGCTGCAAAGCAATCCAAAACTCAGTGCTACAAATAGTAACACAGTACAGTAGATAATAACTTTCAATTATTGACTGACAGTAAATTACCAAATGTAACTCATTACTTAGGTTACCGATTCATTTATTGTATTTTTGACAAAAACTGATGGAAAAGGAGAAATGTTGGAAGGAAAGTGGTTTGATCTGGTTGGTGAACGTCCAGCTAAAATCAAGTCCTGCAGAATGCAGCCATATTTTTACCTTCACAGTTTAACTTTAACAATGGATTAAAAATTAAAGTGCTGCAATTTTAGCTTCAGCTGTGTTGAGATAATATCTCTGTTTTTATCTTGTCTGGATCAGGGCTCTGAAATGAGAAGCTCTGGAGTCCAAAATGACTCTTTGGTTCATTTAATACATTAAACGGTAAAATATTGCTCCATTTTCTTTCATTCTTTTGTTCTGTACTCCCTTGAAGAAACACTGACCCTGCTGGTGAAGTGGGTCAACACTGATTTCATCTGATGGCACAAATCTCCTCAGGTGTCCTGAAAACAGTTTTCACATTTTTTCCATCACTCTGTATTCATCCTCCTGGAGTTCATTTTGCTTTCACATGTGCAATATTTGCATAAAAAGGTGAATATTAGAAAGATTGCAAATTTAACATCTTGCATGACTGCAATCAGGTTCCTGACAAACAAAGGAACAATCAAAGCTATTTTAATGTCTCTTTTTATCATTTATTAATTTTCAAACATAGTATATGTTCAATAAAAACTATTTTTCAGAATTAGAATCATCTGGAGACATTTGTGCATTAAACCAACACAAATATGTAAATATAAAAATTTAAAAACACTTCATAGAAAATAAAATAATTAAAAATGAACATTTATGCAGATTGACATGAATCTTTATTTTACAGTACATGAAATGAAATGAAATTTGAAATGAAATTTTATTCGAACATGATACAAATACAAATATAAAAATAAAATAGTGCC